CTCCGAGTGACACTCCCTCTGCTGCTGTGACAATGTGCTAACACCATCATGTTGACAGACTCCGACTCCGACTCCTCGATTGACCAACCCACTAACCGCGGAAACAAACTCAAAAAGAGGTCGAGATTCGTCGCGCGAGGGAGGCTTACCGGCTCCGCGGGCCCCGCTGCATATAAAGAGGTGCGCACCACGAGACGAAGCCCTGGCAACCCAAGGCTGACTGGATACAGATCGCCGAGCACGCAGGCTACCAAAGAGCCATCATTAACCACAACCCGCCGCTGATTGACGAGGACGGCTACGATATCACGAGCGACGACGATGAACAGGAGGTGCAGGAGGCCATCGCGAGCGCCATGGATGACAACCCGTACTCTGATGTTCAGCTCGAACAGATCTTTGCCCCGTTAACCTCGGTTACCGACCTGCCTACACATCCGGCCATGTCGAAACCCTTCACTTCGAAAGCCCTTACCGAATTGGTTGACCAGGCGCGCATCATCATGCAGAGCGAAAATAAGGCGCTTTGGAAGGTCAAGCCTCTGTTGACCAAGCTGGTTGGGGATAATACTTGGGTTCCATGTGGACTTATGAGCGGTCCCAGCGACGCCTCCCTCTTTACAGATCCTACAAGGTTCTTCAAGCGCCCCGACCGGCAGCGTCTTCGCCCAGCAGCGCCCCCTGTTGCGGCCCTTACGAATGGGGTAATCTCGGCTCATGAAGGCACATTTGCCGAGTCGGCTGTACGTGAAAGGATCGAGGGCGTTCTTTCGGGGCCAAGTGCTCCAGCTTCGGAAGACACAGTCGATGGAGAAACATTACCAGATGCCCCAGTTGTTACAAACGGCGAAACAAATACAGAGGCGCCGAAGCCAGCAGAGTGCCCGAAAGAGCCTCCACTAGTGAATGGCGACAGCAAACCAGATGAAAGGCCAGCGGAGGAGGCGCATTCGGGCGACACGACCAAGGATGAAGAAGACGACGAAGACGTGGTCATGGCCGAGGCGCAAAAAAGACGAGATATTCTGAACCGACCAGATATTCGACTAGAACCGCCGCGCAGCAATGGTACACCAGCCGTGGCGCCCACAAGCGACCCGTTCGGCCCAGACGCCCCTTTTATACATCCCATGTTTATCGCTCCTCGAGAAGTTCGCCAGGATCGCAACATGGGACTGGCCGAGCACGAGGCAGAAGAGCTGCGGCGATGGCTACAAGCATATGTGCAAAAACAGGAAGAAGTGTGTCGGGGTGCAAAGAAGCTTTATGAACAGCTCCTTCGTGCAGACAGGCTGCGGAAACAGGTGTTGATGTGGGCCAAGGCAGAGGCGCACTGCGGACCAAACAACCACATGTCGGACGGGGAAGACTGGTACGACAAGGAGGAGTGGGGCCTGACAGAAGACTTGAAGAAGGGAGAGGACGAAGTGGAAGAGGATGTGGGCACGACACAAAAGAAGACGAGGAACAGGAAGTAGACTTGTCTGTTGTTTGTTTGATATTTTGGTCAGGTTGTTTGGTTGGTGTACATACAGAACATCTGGATTGATGGGAATGGTGGGTTTTATATCATGGCTAACTAGGTACGATACCAGGAGGGAAATATTTTGAACAGAGCGGTCGAATGGAGCGTTTTATTTTATTTTTGGATCACCACGACGCTGGGAACTTCTGGAAGGGAGACACAGGAACACTGATTCACGTCTCCACGCAGCTGTCACCACGATCGAGAAATCATGTCATTGGCTGACGGGGGCTCGTGGCCACCCTGGTCCACCCGCCCTCGCTCGAGCCGCATCCGAATTAGTACTGCACGATGCACCGCTCCGACTTGGGACGGCTGAATGAGTTGAGTGACTGCTGAGTGGCTGCAGCATTCGGCACTCGGAGGTCGTTTTGTGCCGATTTCTTTCTCTCTCGACTCTGTTCGTCATGGACTCGGGGAGGGACGAAAAGCTCAGAGCTTTGGGCTTCAGATCAAGGGACATCAGCACTCCAGTATCTCCTCGACCTTGACGGCTATGATTTCCCTTTCCCGGAAATCGCATCTGATCTCTCGGCACAGATCTAGAACCCGACAGGGAGGACACCCGAATACAACACTGCTGCTGCTGCTACTGCGCTAGGCCGGCGAAGTGCCTACCGCAATTGGCCTTGGCGTTTGCCGCCCGCCTGGACATCTGACGTGCACGTCAGGTCACGGTTGACAGGGGGAAGGGATAGAGAATAAAGAGCTCGACACGCCCGGGTTTTTTTTGGTTTTTTTTTATTATCCGCTTAGGAACAAGTCATAGAATATACTCCCGTCTTTGACGAAAAGATTGTGACGTTTTTGAATTGCGAGTGTTTTTTTTTGTCAACTCTGATTAGAGAGTTTATAGACGCGAGACCAGCAAAACACCATTGGTTGATGGTGGTGTGAGCATCACGATCCTTGGCACGACTTGAGACTTCGATTTAGAGTTACTCGGTTTGCTTTACGACAAGGAATCAGATTGACGATACTCGAGCATTGCGTATGCAAGCGTGCCGACACAGCAACAGCTGAACTCTCATCTCAACCCAACTGACAGCCTCGCCAGGCTCGTCTTCACTTTGACTTCAACATCACCACACCCTCTCGATATCTTCCATAAAACCTCAAAATGGCCGACAAAGACAAAGAAAAAGACGCCATCACCACATCCTCCACCCAGCCACCATCCACCTCCTCGAAATCCCCTGACCGAGCCCCTTCCCCAACCCCTATCCAAGACACCGCCGCCGCCCTCCCCTCAGATGCCGAAAAGCCCCCAACACCACCCCGAGACGACTCCAACATGGTCTACCCCACCGGCCCAAAACTCTACCTCATCATCTCCTCCCTCTGCCTCTCCGTCTTCCTGGTAGCCCTCGACCAAACAATCATCGCCCCCGCCCTCGGCGCCATCACGACCGAGTTCTCCTCCGTGAGGGACATTGGCTGGTACGGCGCCGGCTACCTCCTCACCACCACCGCCCTCCAGCCCTGCTACGGCTCCCTCTACCGCATGTTCTCCGTCAAGTACACCTACCTCGTCGCCGTCTTCATCTTTGAAATCGGCTCGCTCATCTGCGCCGTCGCCCCCACCTCCAACGCCTTTATCGCTGGGAGGGCCGTTGCCGGCATGGGCACCGCGGGTCTGTTTTCGGGATCAATTGTGATTTTGAGCTACACCTTGCCACTGAGGAAACGGCCGGCCGCGTTCGGGTTGATAGGAGGGATGTGGGGGATCAGCTCCGTCGCCGGTCCGTTGCTGGGGGGGGCGTTCAGTGATGCGCCCAACCCGGGGTGGAGGTGGTGTTTCTACATCAATCTCCCCATCGGAGCGTTCGCCATGGCAGCGATATTCTTCTTCCTCAAGATCAACCGGGTTGATAACCCTGAGGGGCTCACGTTTCTGGAAAGGATCTTGAGGCTTGATCTGGCGGGGACGGCGATGCTCATCCCGGCTGTTATCTGCTTGTTGCTCGCCCTGCAGTGGGGCGGGACCGAGCACGCCTGGAACAGCTCGGTGATTATTGGGCTGTTTGTCGGGTTTGCGCTGATGATTGGGGCTTTTGCTGTGATTCAGGTTTGGAAGGGGGATAGGGGGACGTTGCCGCCGAGGTTGTTCAAGAATAGGGATGTTGTCTGCGCGATGTTGTTTGCGTTTTTCTTTGGGGCGGGGTTTTTTCCTTTGGTTTATTATCTTGGTAAGTTTCCATTTTTTATTTTTTTTATTTTTTTTTTGTTTTCTTTATCTTGGTTTTTTTTGGGGTTTTTTGATATTTTTTATATTTTTTTAAATATTTTTTCACTTTATTTTTATTTTTTGTTATATTTTTTTTGTTTATATTTTCATTTTTTTATATTATTTTTTTATCTTGTGTTGTTGTTGTTGTGACAGTGCCTAGATCTATTCAGGGGCTCAGGGGGCTAACTCTCCATGTCAATCAAGCCCTCTACTTCCAAGCCGTCCAAGGCGACACCGCCGTAACAGCCGGCATCAAACTCCTCCCCCTCCTCATCTCAGTCGTCATCACCTCCGTCGCAACCGGCGGCCTCGTCACCGTCGTCGGCTACTACAACCCCTTCATCCTCCCCTGCATGGTCCTCTTCGCCACCGGCGCGGGCATGATCACCACCTTCTCCCTCACCACCCCCTTCAGCGCCTGGTTCGGCTACCAGGTCCTCGCCGGCCTCGGGATCGGCGTCGGCTTCCAGACCGGGGTTCTGGTAGTCCAAAACGTCATGCCCCTTGAGTGGATCCCCGTCGCCACGGCCTGCATCCAGTTCTTCCAGTCCATCGGCGGCGCCATCTTCATCGCCGTTGCGCAGGCAGTCTTCCAGAACGGCCTCATTGACACCTTGGCTAAAGACGCGCCTGGCCTGCCAGCGGAACTGTTTCTCAATATTGGCGCCTCTCAGGTCAGCCAGGTGGTCTCCGCCCCTCCCCCCGCTGGGCTGGGGAAACCAGATGATGTGAATATCGTCTTGAACGCCTACCTCCAGGGGTTGAGAAACACGTATTACATCGCCGTTGGTTGCGCCTGCGGTGCATTTGTGGCGGCGTGCGGTCTGAGTTGGAAAAAGATTCAACGGCATAGAGCCAAGGCAGCGGATGATTCAGAGGGAGGAGGAGGAGAAAAGAGCGCCGTGGTTGTTCCTGCTCACTAGAACCACCCACCACATAGACAAAAGACAAGCATTATGGCTTGTCTACAATGATGAACATGTATCTACGATACCCACATCACAGCCACCAATCCAACTCGATAATAATATTCGACATATTCATATTGTATATACTTCTGTCCATACCCCCCCCCCCCCCCAAACAAAATAAAATACATGAGAATAAGTAATATATACTTTGTCCAAGACACAAAAGCAAAACCCAAACTCCCATCCCAATCCAACAATGATGTGTGTGTATCCTTCAAACCACCAAGCGAAAAAAAGTAGCAACAAAACTAAACTCCCTTCGCCTCATCTCTTCATCTCTCATCCCTCATCCCTCACATCTCACATTCTCTTCCATCCCATCACTCACAACCCCCCAAGCGCCGCACAATAAGCCAGATACCAAGTCAAACTCGCCCCCCCGTCCAACCACTCCCCCTTAAACTCCCCTCCCCTTCCTCCCCCGCTAAAAAAGTCATACCCCCCCCTCGGATCAATCGTCCCATAATTCCCCATCAAAATCCCCTTCCACCCCCCAGTGACTTGCTCCGCCCTCCCTCCCGAAAAGTACGCATCCCACTCCTCCCTCACAAACTCCTTCCTCCTCACCATGGGCGTATGCGGCAACAGAGGCAGCATGTGAATCCCCTGCACATACTCAATATTCGTCCCAAAATACGTCGTGTGGTCCACCTTGTTCTCAAACAAAATCCCCGCAACCTTGTTCCCAATAAAATTCTTCGGCTGCACCGTGTTGCTCTCGGTGTACAGGTAGTACGAGTTCAGCGACCTCGCCTGCACAGCCAGCATCAGATTCCCCCTCGCCGCCAGGTTCTGGTCGCCGCTCACCGTCCCCCACATCTTGAGCGCGTACGACGCCATCGTGTCCTCCGAGCTCGACTCCTGGTCCTTGCCGTCGAGCGTGTCGAACAGCCCGTGGGCCCAGCTGTGGCCGTGGTACCAGTCAAAGTTCCTCCACACGGGGAAGTACTGGTCCGCCGCGCTCGGGTTGGCCACGTCCCGGACCAGCATGTTGACGTAGGCCTTGTTGGCCGGGATCCAGGAAGGATCGAGATGTCCGATGATCGCGGCGGTGAGGATGAAGTACCCGTAGTGGAAGTGGTGGTCGTTGTAGTAGGAGTTGCCAAAGTCGGCGCCAGAGTTGCCCGTGACGTAGCTCGCCGAAGAGACGACGCCTCCCCAACCGCCCTCGTACACAAGCGGGAACTGCTGCCTGTTCTCGGCGAACCGCGCGAACGCCTGCTTGAGCTGGTTCAGCGCCGTCAACGCCAGCGCCTCGTCACCAAGCATGTCCCGAATAACCAAGATGATGCTAGCAAACTTGGCCAACGCCTATTTCACCCGTTAGCACCCCTTCCTCTTCACCAGCCAGTATCGAAAAGAAGAAGAAGGGAAAAAAAACTAAAAAAAAACTCACCTTCCCACTGAAATACATCGAATTCTGATCGCTCTGCTGCAGCATATCTTGGCTCACCTCCTGCAACGCAACCCCCTTCACAAAACTCCTCACCCCCTCGCTCAACCCCTTTACCTCCCCCGCCTCGGGGCTCCAAGGCAAAAACCCAATCCCCGTCGGCAGCTCCGTCTCCACCATGGTCCAGCTGTCCGCCAGCACCAGATACGCCACCCCCTTCGTCGGCGTCTGCAGCTTCACCCCCGTCACCTTCCCCCTCGTCCCATCATCAAAAGAACTCAGATGATGCGGCAGCGCAAACTGCGCGACAGGACTCTGATACATCCCCTGCTTCCTAAACCCAAACCGATACGTCCCCGTCTTCCCATTCACCCCCCCGCTCAGGTCAACCCCCACCGCATACGTCCCACAAGCCTGGTCGTAAACCTTTTCCGACTCCCCATCGCTCGCCTTAGCAACCTGAACGATGCCATAAAACGGCCCCGTCGACTCCGCCCTTCCATTGTTCACAACCTGCAAGTTCAACCCCTCCCCTTTCGTGTGATAAGCATACACCAACCACGTCGTCCCGTCCTCCAAATGCAGTCTATACTTGACCACCCCCTCCTTCGCCTCCTTGGACGCCCTCGTCACGGTCTTGAAGAAAATCCCCGTCTGAACCACCGGCTGGCCCCCGTTGTACACCCCCGTCACGAACCCCGCCCCCTGAACCAGCGGGAACTGGATCACCGCCTGGCCCCCCTCTCGCGCCCTCAAGCTCACCAGGCTCGAAAAGTCCGTCAGGTTGTCACTAGTCAACACCGTCCCCGGCCCGAGCTCCTTCGCGCTCAAGCACACCGAGTGGATCCCAATAGGATTGATGTAATACCTCGCCGCTCCCGAACCAGGGTCGTTCTGCCCGTACACCCTCTGGTTAGCATCGACATGCGAAATGGCCATGCCCCACGTCCCCGAGGCACCACCTCCCCTCGCCCAGGTGACACTGTAGGGAAACAGGTAACTGGGCGAGGTCTGATTCCCCAAGAAGAAATTATTGTAAAACTTGTTCGTCCCAATGGGACCAGCCGACTTGATGCCGATCCTAGGGGCGGGGTGGTCCTTCCTCTGGGGGATCTGAGACGGGGGCGGGTCCGTAGAAATCGGCGCCGCGAAAATATTGGGGACAATCATGCTGACTGTTTCCGAGGGCGCGAACGGCTGATCGGTCGGAACCGAAGCCGTGGCAGAGATGAGCTCTGTCGGAGACGGGATAGGGGAAGTGATAAGCGGTTGAGAGGTAGGATACCCGCTCGACGGAGCGTCGGTAGGAATGGTGCCCGTGTTGGTCGACTCGATAGGAACGTCCGTGGGCAGGATCTGAAGCGTTCCCGAGGGGTTGACACTGGTGATAACACTGACAGTGTTGGTGTCACCGAGGTCAGTTGTCGATGTTGGTTGCGTGCTGCTAGTAGGAGAAGCTGGCTGTGTGACAACCTCAGGGGTTGGTGTCACTTCAGGGGCGACCTCGCCCGAGCCGGTGCTGCTGGCAGGTTGTTGACCAGAAGCGGGACTCGTCTCGTCCGAAAAGAGAGTCGTGTCCCCGTCAGGACTCTCCTCGGAAACGGCCTGGATAGTCTGCTCCGCCTCCGACCCCGAATCAGAACGTGTGCTGATGATGACCGAAGGACGTTCCGTTGTCCACCCAGGCGATCCAAAGAGGATAGAGTGGCTCCTCTTGCTGGCGGTAGAAGAGCTCGAATCTCCTGCCACCGCCACGCAAGCACCAGTAGCAGCTGCCGGTTGACCCTGAGCAGTGACGGTAACCGTCCTCCAGATCGGGAACCAAGGTCGTGGGTACTTCCGGCCGTCTGGTGGTGGGACAGCTAGGACGACCTGAAGTAAGGTCAGCCACGCGAACAAAAAAAACCTCATCTTGGTGGTATCCATCCGCTCCACCATCGGTTGTGAATGAATGGAGATGTCGGATATGTTGGTAAAAAGAGAGAGGGAAAGAAAAGGAAATAGCCCTCGAAAAAGCCAGTGGTGGTTGACAGCAGAGTCCCAACCTGGCTATAAATGATGGAGAAAACAAAAAGTAGCAGTAATAATAATAACAAGGATGCTTTCCCGTCTGGAAAAGATGTCTTCCATGTGCGTCACTTGGGCTGGAAGACCCAAAACAAGAAATAGTAACAGGCGGTCTCTCCGTCACTGGTATGTACAGAGAGAGACAGATATGATACAAGCGAGATGATGTGATGATGGTGCGGGATAGTGAGTGTGCTGTCTTTGTGGAGGAGGACCCAGAAAAAAAAAATGAGACATTGGACCTCATACCTATTCGTTATATATATATATGGAGTCTCTATGTTTGCGTGTTGTCGTTGAACTGTGAGGCTGGAATGCTGAACCGAGAGTCAACGGAATGGCTGGGAGGCAAGGTCCTGGGTTTCAGCTGGCCAGCGAGACAGCTCTAGAAGGGCGAGAATGACTCGATTCAGAAGGATGAGGGCGTCGTGGGCGGTTGTAGATGATGAAATTCGAGTGATCCAGGTATTTCGAGGGTTTTAGGTGGCGCTGTGGGAGGTGGCGGCGTGTAGTGATGCTGAAGGATGACGGTCGTCCAGAGCTAGATTATTGTAAACACGGTCAACAAAATAGAGTTGCGGCAGTCAATGATGATTTGCAGATGAAAGGTAGCATTCCACTCGTCCCCCGAGCGGGAGTGGAACTTCTTCTTTGCGTGCTCTTGGTGCCTTCTCTCTCATCGGGCCTGGAGTGGAGCTACTATTTGTAGATTCGCGAGGAAGGACGTCCCTGTCAGGCGATTCCCGAGCCGGTGGGGATGCGGATACGTCAGGGATTCAAGCTGCAACAGCTGCCATGTGGGAGGTTGGTATCACGACTTCAGACGGCGAAATGAATAAGAAAAATCAGACTCTTCACCAGATCACTCCTTCGGAAAACATAATGACTAAGGCCCAGCCCAGACGCCAAGCCTGCAATGCCCAGGATGGAGAGAGAGAGAGAGAGAGAACATTTCAAGTGATCACCTCCCAAGGAAAAAAAGAAAAGAAGAAAAAGGTTGGGGCCGGAATGCTGGATGGTCACCTCCATCTCGAGTGTTGATGTTGATGAGATGGAAGAAGAAGGGTGCAAAAAACATGTGCGTGTTGCTGGTGACATTCATAGGATCAACGAGGGGTCAGGTTGGTGGTGGTAAGCTTCCTCTAGCAGTAATATCTCCCGAGTTATGGGGTAAGGGATACCAACAGTGCAGCCGAGCTGTCTGTAACGATGCAATGCTATTGTTGCAGTGTCTAGTTGTACATTGTGAGCTCTCACTCTTTTACCGACCCATAGAGTTGTATTTGCTTGTCACAGGAGAGCTCCTTGTGATAGGCTTTGTCACCCTCTCCAACCCAGTTAACCTCATCTTTCCCCTCACCAAAACCGGGCTCTCGGGCCTTTTAATGCTGCTCGAGCGCAGTGTGGTAGTCTCAGGCTCACACTTGTCTTCTTCTTGCAGCTGCTGATCAGACTGGGAATTTTGGGAGCTTTTCTCCACGAGAGCTCTCCTAGAACCCTGCCTTTCCAAACCTGTGATCCGAGCCTGACTGGGATCAGAGCTGTGCTGGCCCTGTTTCCGCGGTTCTAGCCCAGCGGCGCGATAATGGGTATTTGGCTGTTTCTCCAGGTCTCTGCTACGTTGCCTTTCAAGACCAGTCTTGTGACCAAGGTCTCCTGTGCGTTGACTTGCTGCTCTCTCGAGGCCAGTTTTATAAGGGCGGCTGCCGGTTGATATCACAGTGGCGTCTTCTGTCATGTCTTGCCTCTTTGGCCTGCTCGTCCTTTCCAGGCCGGTCTTTTGGGACCGACAAGCAGATGCAGGCGCCTGTTCAATCGTTCGGGAGCTCCTCTTTTCAAGACCAGTTGGCCGTGTTGTGCTCAGCGTCGTGTCGTCTGTGGCCTCCAATATGCTTGATTTCTCCAGCCCAGTCTTTCGGTGTTTGATTTCACGGACTGCTGGCCCGAGCTCTGCTTTCCTCAATAAGCTACGTCTTTCGAGACCAGTCAACTGGCTTGTGCTCAGAGCTGTATCATGGTCAGCAACCTCCAAGATGCTTGTCTTCTCCGGGCCAGTCTGGCGGGATCGAAGACTGCTAGGTATCGGATCCTGTGCTTTTGACCGAGTGCTTCGTCGTTCCGGTCCAGTTCTAAGCTGACTGTGACTTCCAGACATCGTCTCATCAAGATCTGGTCGCTCCAGCGGTTGTCTAAGCCGGGCTGCCGGCCGTCCTCCATCACCAACCGACGGACGCCGCGGTTCCAATCCCGTCTTCCGCCGACGACGGTCAGGGCTGCCGGACTCGTGATGCAGCACTTCCGCCCTCGTCGTTGCTCGCCGCTCGAGTCCTGTCCGGTGATGGTGAGAGTGGCGGCCATCCGTCGCCACCTCCGCCACCAGCACACCACCGCTCTTCGTGCCCTTTTCCAAACCGGTCTTGCGAGAGACCCGTGATGGCCTACCCTCTCCCTCCACCACTGTGTCTTCCTCGAGCTTCCTCCTCTTGCTTTCCCGCTCGAGCCCCGTCAGCTTCGATTTCTTGACTCTTCCTTCTTTCTTCGCTCCTGAGCTTCCTGACCTCCTTCGGATCAACCACCCATGGTCGGCACAAGACCTCCTTCCTTAGCAAGGCAATCTTCTGCCAAAATACTGCCTCCTGCTCTGTCGTGCGTAGATGGGTGATCTTCTCGGCGCGAATTTGCCTCACATTGCGGAAGACGGATATGCCACCTTTGATGTCGATTACGTGGCCGATATCAATTGGCCCATCGGTTTTAGGAAGAGGCTTCCCATCGGCTGAGGTATCGGGGTCTCTAGGGTTTTTGTAGTTGGTAACGGCTGGGTACTGGGGCGGGGTTGCGACAACACATTCAATGGTCGCACCGCTGCTGTCGTCAATGGTGTAGATTATCCTGTGGGCAAATTCTTGTATGGCGACCACGACGCCGGCAATGCGCGCCCATTTTATGGGATGGTTGAGGTAGAAGTAGACATCTTGGCCTGGAGGGGAAGTTGGGTAAGCGACGGTACGAGGAGGCTGCTGGCTGCAATTGTTTGCGACAATTGGTACACACCTTCGAAACCCGGGTTGAATGTCAAGGCTGCAATGTCTGTTGCCTGCAAGTGACACCAACGACCTGCTGTTGGCGACAGGTGGAAGCAGAACTGCGGGTAGAACTCCAACTCTGGTGACGCGCTGCCCGAGTCGGCCATGGTCGATGTGGTAAAAGATGTAGATGGCTTCACCCAGTCTGGCACTATCCCTTGACTGCCTGATCAAAAGGAGGTAGATGCTGCACGCCCAACGTCATTGTTCAATGCTGGCAGGACGCGTGCCATTTTCCAAGAGCGCCGCAAGCCAGAAACCAACATTTGCCAAAGCCCAGATTGGTTGGCCAGGTGACGCCACCTGGCCAATCACAGCCCACCACTTGCCCTGGCGCAGCATATCTACCAGATGACCGACTGACGATGCCCTCCTTGATTAGAGAAAATTCAAGACATACATACATGAGAGATCCAACGTCATGGGACTGGCGAGATCGGCCCGAAGTCTGGGGAAGTGGTCTCGTGTGCAGGACCGCGTTGAAAGAAAAAAGGCATCGCAGTGTTCTGCGGCTGATGTTGATTGTTCCCGTACAATAACCTACATGTGAACGCCTTGCTTATGTCCTGAATAGCATACCCATACCCGATGATCATTAGACGTCCAGTTCCCATGTTCCATCCTTCCTGGTGAACCGCATCAACCAACTAAGCCTTCCTCTTCTTGGCCTTCTTCATCATATCCGCCTGCAGCTTCTGAAACGCCTCCTCATCGACATCCGGCTCTTCCACCACCCTCTTCTTCCCTTTCTTCTCTGGCTTCGCCCCATACTTCTCCGCCAACTGATCAAACATGTTCATCCTATTCTTCTGATTCCTCTGAATCAGCGCTGCCAGCCCTGCCTGATCATCCTCCTTCTTCCCGCCCTTCTTCCCCTTCCCGGTCCCCCTCAGTTTATCATACACGCCCAATTCCTTCGCCAGTTCATCCGCCTCCTTTTCCTCCTTTTTCGCATTCTTCTGCCTTTGCTGTCGTGACTTTTTCGTCTCCCTGGTATAGTTCTTATAAGCCTCCACCTCCCCTTGTTCGATCGCCTCGTCAATTATCTTCCTGAACCTCTCCTCATCCTCGATAACATCGCTCAGCATCACACTCTCATACACCCCGTCCATATCACCCTCAAACTCCTCGTATGCCGCTAGTAAATCCTCCTTCTCCTCTTCGCTCCCCTTGTATTTCTCGCGGAACGCCTCGATGGCCTCTTCGGAGATGGCATCTTGGTATTGTGCGGCGTAGAACTCTGTCCAGCTGAAGCCTTCCGAGTCTACGACTGCTTCAGAGGTCGAGCCGGTTTCATCATAGCGCTTCCGACGGACGGGGTCGGAGAGGATGGCGTAGGCAAATGCGATTTCGAGGAACTTTTCCTTGGCAGAGGATTGATTCTCGGGAGTGGCTTTGTCTGGGTGGTGCTTGAGGGCTGATTTTCGATAGGCAGACTTTATTTGATCGAGGGTGGCATTACGCTCGAGGAAGAGGACCTCGTAGGGGTCAATGGTTGGGGGCTCGTCGGTGGTGAGGTCGTCGACTCTCTCGTCGTCGGACTCGGAGTCGGAGGGGAGGACTGGGCGTTTTGGGCGGGGCATTTTGAATTGTGATGGGAGACAAAGAACTATTGTGATGTCTTGAATTCGGTTGTCTGCTCCTGATGGTGGAATGTTTAATGGATTCCCAGCACACGTCGCGTCGCGTCAGCTGTCGGTGGTGGGACGTACACGGTGTCGCACATGCTATCTGCACTGTAATATCTGCCGCTGCCAAGCTAGATCTCAGGTGCCCCTCCAAGCTACCTGGTATCTTCCCACTCTTACACTGACAAGCTGGAAGCTCTCACGGAGCATCTCCTCCTCCCAGCCTCTCTTGCCAGCCAGAAAAAAAATAATCAATTCAATAGCCTCAACATGACCGACATCCAGCCCGCTGACCACAAAGGCTACATGCAGCTCGCGCTGGAGCAAGCCAAGAAATCACCACCAAAACCCACAAACTACCGGGTTGGTGCTGTCATCGTGGATACAGCCTCCAACGAGATCCTCGCAACTGGTTACACCTTGGAGCTTCCGGGTAACACCCATGCCGAACAGTGCTGTCTCCTGAAGCTGGCCGAGAAACATGGTGTCTCTGAAGAGAATCTGGGAGATGTCTTGCCGACAAACCTGGCCTTGTACACCACAGTCGAGCCATGCTCCAAGCGGCTGAGCGGGAACCTCCCCTGTGTGGAAAGAGTCAAGAGGCTGGCGGGTTGTATCAAGACAGTCCATGTCGGTATTTTGGAGCCCGAGACCTTTGTCGCCGAGAACACGGGCAAGAAGAGTCTCCAAGATGCAGGCATTCAAGTTGTTGCCGTTGAGGGCTTCGAGAAGGATATCCTCGAGGTTGCCACGGCCGGACATATCAAAAGCTGACCGGGCCAACAAGGACTTATACTCAGACCAGCTATCTCCCCAATCAGACTTGCGGGCTATTTCTTCTTCCTAGCATGGGAATCATAAACAATGGACCAGTAACTGTCCCGCATTTCAAACAAACAATGACGAGACAGGTCTCAGTTTCACGCCTCGGTGTTGGCATGGGGGAAGCAATATCACCACGGCTGCATACCAGTCTCACTTTTGATGATACCCACCCACCACGTCGAGATCAGAGAGGAACGATACTATATATAAACCGCGTTTCACCACCCTTTTGTCTATTCTTGCAATGCTGTTGTTTCTGATGTGTGGTTATCGTCAGAATGAAGGCATCGTGGCATACGCAAACACTACTATGGGCGGCAACCACCACAGCCCTGGTAGCCCGTGATCCTGAGCCATATCATTATCAACCATGCAGTAAGTGCCCTCACTTCACAAATTTCAAACAACCGCTAATCTCCACACCTCAGCTGGGGATTACTGCTACGACGTCTCTTCTCTCGAACCACGATTCTTCCCTGAGCTGGAGTCTGAACGCCTCCGAATCTCCTACGGCCCCTTCACCACCCCCCCATCTCACGAGAACAACGGCCATTTCAAAACCTACTTCCGCACCAACCCCCCATGCTACGACTGCTACCTCACCGCCATCAAAGCCACCCTCCAGTACCCCAACGGCACAACCGCCAACACAAACACCTCCCTCTGGCTGCACCACGTAGCAATCATGAACCTAGTCCAGTCCTCCACCACCTGCCCAGACGGAGCAGAGATCGTATTCGCGAGCGGGAATGAGAGGACCGAGGCAAAGATCTCGCTTGATGGGACGGTATCCGCGGGGTATTACATCAACCCCCACGATCTGTTGTTCCTCTTGCCTGAACTGATGAACACAGCCCACATCACACAGGAAGCGGTCATTGCGGTTGATTATGAGTTTGTTACTTTGTCCGATCTGTCTGTTGAGGCTGGAATGAAGAAGGTCACGCCGGTATGGCTGGATGTAGACGGGACTTGCTCGCCTGATGCGGGAGCTGTCACGGTGCCGAAGGGGGTAGGGGAGAGGTTTAGTCTGGAGATGGAGCCGGATTGGAGGAGTGATATAAGTGGGGATATTGTGTATGTCGTGGGGCATGTCCACGATGGGGGGACGGGGGTGGAGGTGAGGAGGAATGGGAAGGTTGTTTGTGATGGGAGGGCGAAGTATGGGGAGACGGAGGGGTATATCTCTGACGAAGGTCATTCAGGAGGCTACGGGTATGGAGATGATGGTCGTGTTGATAGAAGGCAGCGGAGAGCTCTAGGGAAAGGGAAGAGCAGGGGGAAGAAAAAGGGAAAAGGCAAGGGGACAGTGCCTGATTATGATGATGGTGACGAGGAGCTTTCCACTCCTCCGAGACAGGGTCTTCACATCTCCAGTATCAGCACTTGCACCCTCCCAGGCCGGATCGAAAAGGGAGACGAGTGGACTGTCGAGGCGAACTATGACTTTACGAAGCACGCGCCGATGGTACACGGGGGAGGGTTGGCGCCGGTGATGGGGATAAGTCTGATGTATGTTGTAGAAGATGGGCAGTGAGTTTCGAGTTCCAGATTCCCAAAAGCATCGAGATACCATAAGGTACCTATGCAAGGAACATGTTCCTGCTTACATATTTGATTGTGACTGGTCTACACAACCAACTTGGCAGGCAGTCAGCACCAACACAATACAATGATACAACCATCATCAAAAGTACCATATCCGCGAGAAACGATTGGCCAGCCAGAAACTCAAGACCGACTCGTCCAACCACATTCTCACACCTCATGATCCTCACAGCCACATTTCCTCTCTCATATATCCTGAGCACCCCGCTCCTCCTACCCATTGTTCTCAAATCCCACCATCTCCCAGTTCATTACCACCACCAACATGGTACCCCTAAGCAACCCAATCTGGTACATCCTCGAAAACTACATTTACGCCCTCCCCCCTCCCCCCCCTCGCATCCGCACAAAACCCCTAGAAGTAATCTGCGTCGGCCTCCCCAGAAGCGGCACCGAATCCCTCCAGCACGCCCTCCTCACCCTCGGCTACGACCACACCTACCACGGCTGGGACATCATCTACGAAGAACCGAACTACGCCCAAGAATGGGTCAAGCTCTGCCGCAAGAAATGGTTCGGCCCCCCTTCCGGCCGCACAACCTTCACCCCCCTCGACTTTGACCCCCTCATCGGCCACTCCACCGCCCTCACCGACGCCGCCGCCTCCGTTTTCGCCGCCGAGCTCATCCAAGCCTACCCCTCCGCAAAAGTAATCCTCAACCACCGCCCGGACGAAGACGCCTGGCACAACAGCATCTCCACCACCATTGCCCGCGGCGAGTCCCTCTGGCACCTCTGGCTCATGTCCTGGACTTCGGGACCCTGTTTCTGGAGCTGGCACGTCTATCTTCGTTTCATGTGGCCTGGTTTGTTTAGGTGTTTGGACGGGAATGTGGAAAGGGGTGTCAAAGGAAATGGGAGGTGGGTGGCTAGGGAACATTACGCCATGGTTCGGGGGTTGGTACCCAAGGAGAGGCTGCTGGAGTGGAGCGTGGAGGATGGGTGGGGGCGGCTTTGCGAGTTTTTGGACAAGGAGGTTCCGAAGGAGGAGTTTCCTCATGTTAATGCTGCCAAGGGGTGGGTTGGGCATGAGAGGAGGTTGGCGAGGAGGTATATACTGGGGGCGTTGAGGAATCTGGGGGTGGGGGTGGGGGTTGTGGTTGGGTTGTGGTATCTTTGCAAAGTAATATTGGGGTTGAGGGTGATGATGGCTGTTTGAAAGTTTTGGTGCTTGATCATGTTCGACCATGATGTCTATATCCTGCTGCCTTATTCTACCACCCCCTTGTGACCTCCCTGTGATTACGCTGCCCACATATATATATATATATATATATACACCATCCCTTGCACCACCTCCACTCACTCACTCGCTCTTCGGCTTAGCCTTCGCCTCCCCCTTCGCCTCCGACTTGGCAACACTCTCCCCGCACTTCTCCCAAACCTCCAACCCCGTCAACCACGTACTCGCCAACATCAACGCCGACACCACCCCCGTCGAAAACGGTACCCACCCCACCGCCTTCCCCGGCACAGCCATATCCAACACATCCGCCACCGCCCGCCTCCCCGCCTTATACCTCGTGTCCAACAACTTGTCCAACTTTGTCCGTAACTCCTCCAACCTTTCCTCCCCAACCCTCACCCGCCCCAACCTCGTCTCCTGCTCCCTCCACTGCTGCTGCTGCTCCTCCCACCCCCCGTGCCCCCCCTTCGACCTGCTACTCATCTGGGGAGGAGGGGGCTTCACCAGCGTCGGCCCTGCGGCACCTCTTTCCCTCCTCACCTCCTTCTCAAGGTGCCTCACCTCCCTCCTCGTCTGCGCAATCTCGGCCCCCAACCTGCCGACCTTCCAACCCCCGGCGAGAACAGCCAGAATCAACGCAAAAAACCACATCCTGTTCCCTTCCTTCATCACCTTCCTTGCAAGCTCCCTGCCCCAGACCCCCAGCCCGTCGACCTTGAGCTCGTCAACGAACGTGGCCGTCTCAGCACAGTAATAGACCCCGTTGAAGGATTTGCTCAGTATCTCTAGCCATTTCTCGATGCCGACGCCGCCTAGGAGGAGGCCGACTGCCAGCCCGGCTTTGGCCTTTTCTGCGCCCGAGGATGGTGGCTTCCCTTCCGCTTTCGACTTTGCCGAGGCCTCGATGTATTTATCAAAGGCTTGGGAGAAGGACTCTAGGAAGCGGAAGAGGCGGAAGTAGCGCCGCCCCAGGGAGAGCCGGGATTTGAGTTCGGTGAGGGTGAGTTTCTTTCGAGGGGAGAGGGTGCGGGGGATTTTCTCGGCGGGGAAGCCGAGGAAGGGGAGGAGGGCCAGGGGGAGGGAGGGGTAAGAAAGTAAAAGCTGGGTGAGGGATTGGAGGAAGCGGAGGGTGCGTTCGAGGCCGTAGGCGTCGGTGGAGAATTTGATGAATTGGTGGAAGGTGTTTTGTGACATTTTGAGGGAAGGGAGGGGATCGTCACGGGGGTGGGCGGTAAGAATCGGTTGTGTTGTGTCGTGTGAATATTGTGATGGCTTGTTTTGGACGTGGTTGTTGTGAGATGTTGTTCTGATGGTGGTGAGAGTGAGACGTGAAGTGTGGGTAATTCAATGTCTTGGCGGTGTATCTTTTACGAGAGCGAGATGGGTCGGGCAAGCTGTTCACTCATGAGAAGTATGCGTGTCCTTGGCAAGAACTAAACGGTCGTCTTAAAGTCGGTATCAAAAGTAAAGTTGAGATGAAAAGATGCTCGGGTCTCAAGAAGAATCGCGTCGGTGAAAAACAAAATCGACAAATCGTGAGATGAGCTGTCGGGTTTCAGGCACAAATGTCGCTCCATTGGGTGGCTGGTTTTTGCTGTTTATGGTTGGTGCATTTCCTAGCGCGCATCCGTTCAGCTCCCTCGAATCAGCCCCTGACTCCTGTGGCAAGGGATAAACAGAGGCAAATGTTCAAACACCACATGTATTCGTTGCCTTCCATATGCCCCCTAATCTTCAAGTAAATACAACACCGCCCAGCGAGAGAATGATGCACATGTACACAATGGCTGCAACGAATTCTCTCTCAATTCCAAACTTCATGCCTCCTTTTATCTAAGGCCTCCCACCAGCTGTACACCTATACCCTTACATACCAGGAGAGACAAGCACACCCTTCTCCCTAGAGTCACGCTTCCACCCACCAGCAAGCGCCTCGCCACCGTTCTCCTGAGCAAACTTTTGCATGCGCGCCTCAAGCTCTGGCCTGAAGTGGCGGATAAGACCCTGGATAGGCCAGGCAAAAGCCTCACCCAAAGCTAGGAATTGGGTCAGCAAAAAGTAGTTATTTATCAATCAGGAGAAGGGAAGAAACATACCGCAAATGGTGTGACCCTCCACCTGCTTGGTCAGCTCCTGCAACATGTCAATCTCACGCTCGCGACCCTGGCCCTTCTCGAATCTTTGCATGATCTGCTCGGTCCACTTGCTGCCTTCACGGCAAGGAGTGCACTGGCCGCAAGACTCGTGGCGGTAGAAGTGGCTGAGACGGGAGATGGCGCGGACAACATCGGTGCTCTTGTCCATGACGATGACAGCAGCGGTGCCGAGACCGGACTGGCTGTCCTTCAGGGCATCGAAATCCATGAGCTGGTCGTCGCAGACATGCTTGGGCAGGATAGGGGTGGAAGAACCACCGGGGATGACAGCCAGGAGGTTGTCCCAGCCGCCACGGACACCGCCGCAGTGCTTGTCGATAAGCTCCCGGAGAGGAATGCTCATCTCCTCCTCGACTGTGCAGGGGTTGTTGACGTGACCGCTGATGCAGAAGAGCTTGGTGCCCTGGTTGCGCTCACGGCCGAAGCCGGCGAACCAGCTGCCACCGCGACGGCAGATGGTAGGGGCAACAGCAACAGTCTCGACGTTGGCAACAGTGGAAGGGCAACCGAAAAGACCGACAGCGGCAGGGAAAGGAGGCTTCAAGCGGGGCTTGCCAGGCTTGCCCTCAAGAGACTCGATCAAGCTGGTCTCCTCACCGCAGACGTAGGCACCGCCACCACGGTGAACGTAGACATCAAAGTCATAACCGGAACCGCAGGCGTTCTTGCCAATAAGACCGTCGGCATAAGCCTCGTTGATGGCGTTTTGGAGAACGGCAGCCTCGTGGATAAACTCTCCACGAATGTAAATGTAAGCAGCCGAAGCGTTCATGGCACGGCCAGCGACCAAGCAGCCCTCCACCAGCTTGTGGGGGTCCTTGCGCATAATCTCGCGATCCTTGCAGGTTCCCGGCTCACCCTCATCGGCGTTGACAACCAGGTATCTCGGTTTGTTGTCCTTGTCCCAGTCCTTGAAGTTCATGAACGACTGCATAACAGCGTTAGTAAGCTTACTTCTTCTGTCGTCCAAAGCTCCAAACGCACCCATTTCAGACCCGAGGGGAAACCAGCACCACCACGTCCGCGGAGGCCGGAGGCCTTGATCTCGCCAATGATCCAGTCGTGGCCCTTGAGGAGGATCTCCTTGGTCTTGTGCCAGTCGCCCATCTTCTTGGCGCTCTTGAGGTCGGGGGGGAAGCGGCCGTAGAGGTTCTGGAAGATGCGGTCCTGGTCGCGAAGGCCACCATAGGTACGGCTAGGGGCAGCGCCGTCCTGGACGGTAGCGAACGAACGGCATTGTTGTTGCGTCGTGGCGGCCGCGACAGCGTTTGTGAGGGTCTTGGCCGACGCCTTGGTGGGCGCAGCAGTGCGGGACAACATGTTGGTATAGATTCGTGTCTCTGCTCGGCAGAGACAGAGGGAGGCGGAATGCCAGTGGGCCGGGGCCGGGGGGGGTGGCGGGTTGAGAAGAGGGAGAAGAGGTCGTCGAGGGGTTCGTTCGTTCCTGGGGACGACCACGACGAGGGAGGTTGAGGTTGGCCTGTGGCTCAATTGAGCGATTGTGAGCGGCTTCTTTGAGATTTGGTTTCGCAACGTCGATGATTGGCTGAAATTTACCGGGATGTGGCGGGCAGGCACTTGGGCCGCCTGTGGCGAGAGCTGCCAAGATCGCTGACGCAGTGTGGGGGGAAGCTGTTCGCTGAAGAGCTCCGAGAGCTTCAACAAAAAGTTCCCTGAACAACACCATCTCTGTCTCGACAAACAATCGTCAGCCTTGCGCTCCAGCCTCGACCGTCCGCCCACAACGCCCTCGGGACGAGGAGCTGCGTGTGGCTCTAGTTATCAGTCAATGCTATATTGTTTTTGTCCAGCTACCACTCCCTTCCTTGCAACTACGTATACTGTGCCATGCGCCCAAGCTCTCGACAATCTAGCAGTGTCAGCCTTGGCCAGTGATCAACACCACCAAACATCACCACAAAACAAAACTCTCGACTTTTAGCAAAGATGTCTTCCAAACGCCACTCCATCCTCCCCGCCGTCTCAGCAGGCCCTAAACCACCAGTCCACTTCTCCTCCTCCATCACCATCGCCGAATCGGCCCTCCTCACCGGTACAAACCTCATCACCATCTCTTCCGAGTCCGTCATCCACCCCCGCGCCAAACTCGACTCCCTCGCCGGGCGCATCACCATTGGCCGTCGCTGTGTGGTTCACGAGCGCACCATGATCGGTGCCATCGGAACATCGGGCAAAGTAACCGAACAAGCCGTGACCCTCGGAGACTACGCGACCGTCGAAGTGGCCGCCTCCATCGAAGCTGGTAATACCATCATCGGGGAGGGAACCACAGTTGGAGTTGGCTCAAAAGTTGGAGCGGGCGCAGTAATAGGAAAGGTTTGTTTCATCTTCCCACAGGTAGACACAGAGGAGATGCTGACAGGCAAACCAGCATTGCACCCTAACCCCCCACACCGAAGTCCCAGCCGGCGAGGTCATCCCCGATTTCACAGTCATCTATTCCAACGGAATGAGGAGGATAGACAAGCGAGGGGTGGCAGACCTGAAGAACAAGGGGCAGGCGAGGCAGATTGATGTGCTGAGGAGGATGATACCCACTAATCCGGCCAAGTTTGCCTGATTACTTCTTTTTTTGTTGTTATACATGATGATGTTTTTTTTTTGCTAGGGTACAATACCCGTTGTGATGATCATGGAAATGGAGAATTCCCGTTCGCATTCAGCTTCTGTCTTTGGGCGCATTATTTTCACAACCTTGAAAGAAACCAAAAAGAAGGCCACCCAAGAGAAGAGAAGACAGGGCAGCCCTGAGTGCGATGGAATTGCCGTTTTATCGAAACGAGCAGTGTTTTGACTCGGCTACTTTTCAGGGAGGTCCGGAAGTGGAATAGATAAGGTGTATAGGGCACGACACGACCTCGGTCACTTGGAGATCATAGCCTCTTGTTGATGTTGTTTGGTGTGATGAAAAATGAACGAATAACTTTGGTCTCTACTTCAGCTGGAGCCTACTATAACTCTATGGCGAGGGGTGTCAGGGGAAAATCAACTTTCTCATCCCACAACCCATGGTTTTTTGGAGCCCAAGAAAAGTCTTGACTGATTGTTTTATTTTAGTACGGTCTACTTGCCGGCCTCGTTCTGGCAACAGGATCAGGGCTTCATCATGCCTTCATCAGGGTTAGGTGTAGCTTGCAACGTTTCATATTGACCACGTGTCTTAGAACAGACTGGCGAAGGCATATATCTCTTACCGTTCACGACCTAGGTAGGTATCTGGGTTGGCAGGTGGGACCAGGAAGCAAATCGACTTTGGCAACAGCCCGATTGCTCTCTCCCCCAGGTTGTACTTGTCTCCATAACAGAAATCATGCCTGCACCCACTTACATCACATGTTTGATTAGAATCTGGGACCAGAGCTGGAATTGTGTCAGTTTTCACAAATCGTGCAAGTTTCCATCCGGACAGTCTTTGTCATGGTGGGTTTCTTCACTTCTCAGTCGCTGTGGGAGAAGGAAAAACCAGTCAGTCTCGGCCTTTGGCATCTGTGGCCGGTCCCGGAAGGACAGCTGCCTTCCCCGGCCGAATTCCGTCGGAACAAGCTTCCGCGAGAGACATTGAAGCTCGCAGCTGCTGGGAGCCGTCTCGAAAGGCACCGGAGCATGCAATCTGGCCCATCATGCACAATCCTCAACCATTCGGGTGCGATTCCCTAGCAGGGGGGCCAGAACCCAAGTAAGTGTAAAGGCACCGTCAGCCCTACCGCCCTGCTCATGCACATCATCTCTTCAGACCCCGACCTAATCGGCTCTTTTGACCTCACCTCCAGACACTCACCATGGAGGCAAACAACGACATAGAGAGCATGGAAATGTCGGAAAACAGAAGAAGTCAGCATGAAAGGACATTGGAAGCAAACAGGGACGGGGCAGCCCAGTACTCGTATGAGACTGCGGGACTGTTGCTATAATACCGGCATTTTCTCGGCCGCCGTTGCTTCCATAGGTACCAGCTCACCACCACACACCTTTCTCATCCATCAGTCCCCTCACCCTCGGTCGGGACACTGGCAAAAGCGGAACAGGCCCAGCGGAAACCACTGCTGTCTCCCCTCGTCCAGCCGCCGGCTCAGACCACCGCACGCTTTGAAAACGATGGCTTCTACTCCAAACCAAAGCTCGGCTTTTCTGTCAGGCCACAGAAGAGCACGAACCAGACAGCTTATCAAGAAGCCTTTCAAGAAAATATTCATAAAGTCAATTTTGTTATCTGCGTTTACCCAGCAGCAACCACCACCATCACCACCACCGAGCACATCTTTTGCATCTTCATCCTCCCACCAACACCGAGATCCGACTCCTCCTCCTCTCCCTCGGTCGTCGCCTCACTCTCGACCCACCAGCCGACGATCTTCCTCCACCACCACCACCACCACCACCACCAGCCAACTTATCTGGAGACTCTCTGACGACACCCTCTCTTGTTCCAGCCTACAGCTAGCAGCACATTTCAACACAACCACCCAGCTATCCGACTCTTGCACCATTCCACTCTCGCCTTACCTTTACCAAGAACAACAACAGAATATCATCACGCCCTCCAACGACAGCCACCCAAGCCCCTTCTCCACACCTCACCACCACCACTACTACTACTCCACCGAGCATTCCCACACCAACAACCACTTCTACGTCACCACCATGTCTGGCAGCAGATCCTCGTCCCCTCCCCCAACCCCCTCGGGTTCCATGCCCATTGAACAGACACCCGCCTTCCAGAAACTTGTCCCCGTCGAGCGTGCACGAGCATTCATCCACTCTGTCGTGTTTGAAGAAGACGAGGAGCTGTCCGAGGAAGAGAGGGAGCACATCACCATCAAGTGCGAAAAGACATGGACGGACCTGCTGAAGCTGGGGAATTTGGACGAGAAGGAGGGGACAGAGGAGTGTCAGAAGTTGGTGCGCGCGCCGGTGATTGGGGAGGGGATTTGTCACAAGTTGTGGAAGAGGCTGGCGGCGATTTCGAGGAAGGGGGGGTACACGAATGAGGCGGCTGGTTTTGAGGCGATGAGGAAGAATTTGGTGGTGGAGGGCAAGGCGAGGCGGGAGGAGAAGAAGAGGGAGAAGGAGGAGAGAAGGAAGGAGAGGGAGGGAAGGAAGGGGGTGGAGGGGTTGTTGGATTCGTTGAAGCTGAGCCCGAGGAGGAAGGATAAGGAGGGGAGCCTGAGCGGGGAGCGGGATGAAGGGGAGGGGGGTGGAGAGCAGGAGGGAGAGGAGGGTTTTTGGCAGGCTCCTGAAACGTATACACCAAGGATTGCGCCGCCCGAGATGGAGGCGAAGGACACGCCTTGTCCGCCTGGGTTGTTGGGTTTGTTGGAGGGGGACGATGATGAGATGACCAGATGGGATCAGGCTGCCTATCATGGGAGGGTAGGGGTGCCGAACCGGAAGATTGAGGAAACTGTTGGTGGGGATGAGGAGGAAGAGGCTGTCAAGAACGCTGAGGATAAGAATAAGCGGAAGGCGGCCGAGGCGAAGGAGGGGAGCAGGTCTTGTCGGCCAAAGCTTACTAAGAGCAAGAGCTGGATTGGGAAGATAGCTAGCATGGGGGAGAAGGTTTCTTATGGGTTGGGGGTTGCAGGGCCTGCTGGGTCTAAGGGTCCGAAGGATGATAGGAGTAGGAAGAAGTCTATCTGAAGGTTGGAGAGATTAACGGCAAGGGAGTTTTGTAAGTGAGGTGTGGTGTGAATATGGTTTGTTTGGGGAGGTTGTTGGAAGCGTGGGTTGGAGGGTTTGTGGGGGAGGGAAAATAGCGGTTTGAGAGAGTATTCATCAGCGTGGGTTGATGAAAGAAAAGTTTTGATTTGTTTTTTATGTTTGAGGTTGCAGCTTTTGGCCAGTGATTGTGAGGGTTGTGATGGGTGATGTGTTGACATGGAGTAGGGGAGGTAATCAATGTGGGAGCACGTGAATGAGCGGGAAAGAGGGAAAAAATGGTGTGGGCGGCTAGACTGACGGAGGGCCAATTGATAGTGGGAGGAGGTCCGAGATTGGGGGGTTCTTGTGGTAGACTAGGCAGCTATGGTCAAGCTTCAGGATCGGGCAATGGTTGAGCATATTGATGAGGCCATGGCTGGATCGGGGAAGGTAGAAATATACTTTGCGAGGGTTTCATGGGATCATAGATTTCATGAAGGTTTGAGCTTTATGAAGAGTCTTGAGGCAGGCCCTAAAGTTTAACATGTATTGTTTGGTAGGGCTCCTGCGTCCCGGAGCAAAGACACCGGCTGGGAAGTGTAGGCAGGTGGGGGACAACCGGTACACAAATTAATCGAGACTTGCAAATATCTACAGAGCACCTTTAATACACAACTTTCTCCCCAAATACTAGCATTATGAAGTCCAAAATAAGATCAATTATCGAAGGCTTTTGGAAGTACTTCTATTGAAAATCTTCAGGGGGTTTGGTGGTGATATAGATGATATATTGTAGGTTAAAATTGATGGTTTCTGTGTTAGTGCCGCTTTTTGATTTGTCTGGTGTCTTCGATTACTTTGTAGGCTAGGTGGGGGGTGGTTATGTCACCACCTGGAAAGAAAGAGCCAGGCCGTCCCGATGGGGGTTTTCGCCTCATTGATCCCACTTATTTATCTGGGGTAGACCCCACTTGGATGAATATGATTGGTTTTTTGGGAGATCCCTGTTGAGTGGTGATGGGGTAAGATAGACGTCAGGTTTAAGAATTCCATCCCATCCCAGCGCTGATTTCACTTTTTTGACTTTTGGAAAGATTTGTTTGTTTATTGACAAGAGGTTCTTGTGTTGAACAAGAGGATGTTTGTTCAGGCCGGCGATTATTACGTTTGATCAACTGCAGCCGACAAAGTTATTTCCAACTTGGGACCTGAGAGAGAGAGAGGAAATTGTATTCGAACGGAAAGCGCAGAACGACAGAACCCAGGTCTGGGGATCAGTTCGCCAAGAACAAATTCAACTTTCCACAGGAGAAGGAGGAGGAGGGAGGTTTATTTACTCGATTTGGGATTGGGACATCACAAGGGGGATTGATCACAGTCGACGAACAGGGACAGATGGTCAAAATGTCCGAAGCCTACCCCTCCACCCCCTCCCCGTCCCCTTACTACACCTCCCGCCGCTTGGGACATCACCACCACCTCGACGACACCCCCATCATCGCAGACCTCAACTCCCGCCCCCGCTCCCTCCACCTGCTCGTCGCCTCCAATGGCCCCCGCGACGTGGCCTACGCCCAGACCATCGCCGTCCGGCTCTCCAAAGAAACGCAAATCACCACCCGCGCCATCGTCGACGATTTGACGCATCGGTTGGCGCAGGAGATCATGGTTCACCAAAACAAACCCGCCTCCCTTGCCACGAATGAGCAGCAAGCTTCGGAACTGATCGAATGGGCGGATTTGCTGGTGTTGGCACCGATAGATGCTGATACACTGGCGAAGATGATGGTGGGGATTGCGGACAATTTATTGTTGCAGGTGCTGAGGGGGTGGGACGCGAGCAAGAGGGTGCTGATGGTGCCCGGGATGACGAAGCAGATGTGGGAGAGCCCGGTTACGAGGCGGCAGATGGGGAAGCTGCATCGGAAGTGGGGGTGGGTGAGGGTGCTGCCGCCAGTCTTGTGGTCGTATGCCGGGGATGGAAGTGGGAAGAGGGTGGTGGAGTGGGAGGGGTTTAACGAGCTGCTTGGGATCATCAAGAACCAGGCGGATTTGTTGAAGGTGGGGTTTAATGTTGACGTTGGGGGTGGTAGTTTGCCGGTGTTGGTGGTGAAGAAGGGGAAACAGAAGAAGGCAAGGAGCCAGCTTCCTCCGGAGCTGTGGAGTATGATTTTTGAGTTTTTGGGGGATTGGGAGTTGGCGACGAGTTTGGGGGTTTATACTACCCTCGAGGTGCCCACGGGGGAGGGGTGGAGGAGGGAGCCGAGGGATAAGGGAGATCTGGTGGGCGTTTTTATGCATGAGTTGGAGTGGACGCTTCTGGGCGCGGATACGGAGGAGATCTGTAGGAAGCTGGCAAAGGCTCCGGCGGGGTTTTGTGATTTGAGCGCGTTGGCTGTGCACCTCATCTTCAAGTTTTCCTTGACGGGGGTCTTGACTTGGATCGAGGGGAATTCACCTCATTTGTTCAAGTGTTTTGACGGCAAGACGATACCGACAAAGGCGTCGGCTTACTATGGGAGGACGGATATTTTGGAGTGGTGGAGGAAGAGCCCGAGCTTTTTGGAGAAGCAGTATGATTGTGAGGCGGTGGATAAGGCGTCGATGAGGGGGTTCGTGCACGTGCTGGAGTGGTGGAGGAGGAGCGGGCTGCCGCTCAAGTACAGCGAGGCTGCGTTTGAGGGGGCGAGTTCGAAGGGGCACATTCATGTTTTGGAGTGGTGGAGGGAGGCGAGCCTGCAGAACTCGGCCGTGGCGCTGAAGCCGGGGAAGGCGTTGCTGGGGGCGGCGCAGTGGGGGATGGTGGAGGTGATTAGGTGGTGGGAGGAGAGCGGTATACCGGCGGGACATCACGAGGCGGTTTGCAAGATGGCGAGTCGGTGGGGGCAGGTGGAGGTGCTGGAGTGTTGGAGGCGGCTGAGGGGGGATGACAAGTTGGAGTTTGATAATCAGATCTTGATGGAGGCGACGTATCATGCGCATATTCATGTGCTGGAGTGGTGGAGGAAGTATGCTCATGGGGAGCTGCCAGGGATGAATGGGAAGAAGGGCAGGAGGGTGGAATACAAGACCATGGATGTGGAAGAGGCGCTGGAAGATTCTCTTGGCGACCAGACAAAGGTCAGGAGATGGTGGGCGGAGAACGGGTTGAACTTGGGCCTGGGTACTACGGAGTGGATGAAGATCAAGGCTCTTTGAAGTAAAAGAATAGGCAGGACAAGTCATTCGAAGCTCATGAGTTGGTCTTGGCATGTGATGCTTTTGTGGCTGTCTATTTGGCAACTACCGGCTTCCCATAGGCACCTCCATTCTGCCTCCTCAACTCAATAGCCCGTTTGTAAGGCGGCGCAGTAGGTGGTTGCACAGGAGGCAGAGAAACGTGACCGGCTGCGAGCTTATAAGAGGCATCAGAATCGAAAGCCGAAAGGTCACCGCAGGCGATGAAAGGGGCTATCCATCTGTTCTTGTTATCGCTTCCGGAAAGGTCCTCGAGGATAACCTCAGTGATACCATCATCATCCGCTTTTGATGGCTCAGACTGCGAGATGGGGTCTTGCTGTTGCTCTTGCAACTCAGCCAGCCGGCTACCCACGCCCAAGGGCTCCTCCAGGCTGGCCTTGAAACCCTCTGGCGGCTGAAAGTTGATGCAGACGATGAACGCCTCCACGCTGCTCGCACGGGAAGACCTTGGCTTGGCCACATGGACTTTCTCGAAGAAGACCTTGAGCTGGGCGTAGAGGAGGTCCACGTTGCGGCCGCGGAAAATTTTGGCGACAAACTTTCCGCCTGGTTTTAACACGCAGAGGGCGAGGTTGAGGGCGGCGAAGAGGAGCTGGGATTGGACGTAGATGTCGAGGTCGTGTAGACCGGTGACATCAGGAGCACCGTCGCTGATGACGAGGTCGACTGGGTGTTGGGCTTGCTGGTTGGTGGATGTTTCGGGGTCGTAAGATGGGTCCAGCGCTTTGAGGAGAAGGGGGACGGTGGCGGGGTGGGTGATATCGGCTCGGAGGGTGATGACGCCCGGGAGGGGGCTGATGGGCTGGAGATCGATGGAGACGATCTTGACGTCTGGCCTGGCGGTGGTTTCATCTTGTGTGTTGGCCATTTCAACGTCTTGCTTCGTTTCTTGCTGGCTGTCCTCTTGGGAGGACGCTGATGGGATTAAGTTGAGCATCCTCTGACGGAACTGGGCTTCACGGTCTTCCCAGGCACAGCGGCCGAATTTTTCATTTTTGATCAGGACTCTGGAGAGAACTTGAGACCAACTGCCCGGGGCAGCACACAGGTCTACAACTCGGGTGACATTTTCGAAGAGGTTGAATTCTGAGACACAAGTTAGTTATGAGTTGGGTATCAAGTCGTTGAACATACCCTCATCCAACTGGAGGAGCTTGAAAGCACTTCTGGCGCGCCAGCCTTGTTCTTTGGCGAGCCGGTAGTAGGCGTCGCGCTTGTCTTTTGACGATTTTCCCATTCTGGCAGAAATATGAACCCCGCAATGTGTGTGTCACCGAAGGTGAGTTTTAGTTTAAGTAAGGTAATAGAATCCAGGAAATTGGAGATAGATCCAGAATAAAAATATCTTGTGAGAAGAATTGGAGAGTCGAGTGAGATTCGATTTGGGACCTCACGAAGTAGCCGGTTGTGATGTGAGTGTTAATGCAGGCTTACATGAAGCTTGAACTTTTTTGATGCCAAATTCAGTACATCGCGGGGCAGGTAGTGGTGTAACTGAGATTCTGGCTAGCTGTTTCCGGCAGGCGGTGAGGGAATACAAGGGTTAGGGTTCTAGCATGACAGTTGCAAGTTGTAAGCCACGGCATATAAATGCTCATGTCGAGACTGAAAGATCTCACAAGTGAATCTTCCAGGAGATGGGATGAGAATGCAATGCTCTCCACTGATGACCATTTTGCGCTGCCGGGCTGAGAGCCATCCTTCTGTTCGGCAGCTGAACTGAACTTCCTAAAAAGTGGGTCCGCCAATTGTAAGTTTCCCATCATCGATTTTTCACTTTTCTCGCAGGGATATTTGCTTCACCTTCGACATCACATCTCAAAACACATCGATAGGTACGTTACGGTCGCTCTCATATCATCAAGGCGCTCTTATTCTGTTGATGTAAGCAAAACATCGCACAGCAGCTCCAACCTTTATCGAGGCCCTCCCTCAACTTTGCCCGACTCCCGCGCTACCGATTCTGCCAGTCTCATACAATGGCGTTCGACAAGAAGAGAAAGCACTCCGGCGAGCAGGCGCAGGCCAAGCGCTCGCAATCAAAAGGCGGCCCAAAACGCCAAAAGACGCAAAATACGGAGAAACACTTTGTCCCCGTCGATGAGTTGCCATGGCAGACTGTCGAAGTTCCTGAGATGTTTGATGACGCCGAAGGGTTTTACGGCCTGGAGGAAATCCAGGGTGTTGATGTCGTCAGAGAGGGCGATGTTGTCAAATTTGTGAGTTTCAATGGCCTGGTTCATCTTGAGGCTCATAAGAAGTCTTACTCACGCTCATTTAGGTGGCTGCTGTGCCTAAAGGCAAAGCTGGCAAGAAGAAGGATGACAAGAAGGCTGAGAACCAAAAAATGGAGGACAATGAAGATGAATTCGAAGGCTTCGACGACACACCTGAGGAGGAGTCAACTCCAGTAGAGACCAAGGCGGGTGACCAAAAGAAGGAACCCAAGACCAAGAAGAAGGACGCCAAGGACCAAAAGAAGGAGCCAAAGGAGGCAAAGAAAGATGGAAAGAAAGACGCCAAGAAGCAAAAGAAACCAGCGCCACAACCTACGGAAGATCCCGAATTGGAGTCGAATCTGTTCACCAGCCTCGACACCTTACCTGATATCGAACCAGAGGAAGACGTTGATACATCCGAATGGGCGCCACTTGAGCTGTCGCCTGACCTGGTAGCAGCGATTGGAAACCTCAGATTCGGCAAGCCAACACCGATTCAGGCACGCGCTATTCCAGAAATAATCAACGGTCACGATGTTATCGGTAAAGCGTCCACGGGTTCCGGCAAGACCTTGGCCTTTGGGATTCCCATTGTGGAAAAGTGGCTTGCGAAGCAGGCAGAGGGAAATGAGGACGAGAAGAAACACCCAATCGCCATGATCCTTTCACCAACAAGAGAATTGGCTCATCAGATTTCGGATCACTTGAAGAAGCTTAGCGATGGCCTTACCGAGTCGCCTTACATCTGCTCAGTCACTGGTGGTTTGGCTATTCAGAAGCAGCTGAGGCAGTTGGAGAAGGCAGATATCATCATCGGAACACCTGGTCGTCTGTGGGAGGTCATCAGCACAGAAATTGCCGTAATGAACTCGATCAGGCAGATCGACTTCCTCGTGGTGGATGAGGCTGACCGCCTGCTCAAGGATGGCCAGTTTAAGGAAGCAGAGGACATCATCAAGGCCTTGGACCGGACGCGTCCCGGTGAGGAGGCTGAGGAAGATTCGGATTCCGACGAAGAGCCTACGCCCAAACACAACCGCCAGACCCTGGTCTTTTCTGCCACCTTCAACAAGGCCCTCCAGCAGAAGCTCGCCGGCAAGGCCCGCTACAACCTCATGGGAGAAGCTGAGTCCCTCGAGCACTTGCTCAAGAAGCTCAACTTCCGGGAGGCCAAGCCCAAGTTCATCGATGCGAACCCCGTCTCCCAGATGGCCGACAAGCTGAAAGAAGGCCTCATCCACTGCGGTGATCTCGAGAAGGACCTCTACCTCTACGCCGTCCTCCTCCTCCAACCCACCCGCCGTGCCCTCGTCTTTACCAATGCGATCAACACCGTCCGCCGCCTCACCCCCTTCCTCCAAAACCTCGGTCTCCCCGCCATCTCTCTCCACTCCGACATGGAGCAAAAAGCCCGTCTCCGCTCCCTCGAAAAGTTCAAGGCCGACCCACCCAAGAACGCCAACCCCGGCTCCTCCGTTCAGGCTCCCATCCTGGTAGCAACCGACGTCGCCGCCCGCGGTCTCGACATCCCCAACGTCGACCTCGTAATCCATTACCACGTCCCCCGCAGCGCAGACGACTACGTCCATCGCTCCGGTCGTACCGCTCGTGCGACTCAATCCGGCGTGTCGATCATGCTCTGCGGCCCCAAGGAGGACATCCCCACCCAGCGCCTCATCACCAAGGTCCACGCCTCCACTGCAGCCTCCAGCGGCAAGCCCAAGAAGGACCTCTTGGGCGTCCAGACCATTGACATCGACAGGCGGCTGGTATCCCACCTCAAACCCCGCGTGACGCTCTCCAAGAAGATCACCGAGACGACGATTGCCAAGGAGAAGGGCGCAAAGGAGGATGACTGGCTGAAGAACGCGGCGGAGGAGCTGGGGATCGAGCTGGACGAGGATGAGTTTGAGAAGGTGGGCAGCTGGAAGGGGAAGGGGAGCGGGAAGAAGCAGCAGGAGAAGCAGGCGAGGGCGGTGGGGAAGCAGGAGGTGCAGAAGTGGAGGTGGGAGTTGAAGGAGTTGCTGAAGAGGCGGGTGAACACGGGGGTTAGTGAGAAGTATCTGAATGGGGTTGATGTGGAGGGGTTGCTGAGGGGGGTGAGGAGTGAGTTTTTGGGGCAGGTGGAGGGGTTGGGGCTTTGATATTTTTTTTTGGGGGGGGGGGGGGGTTGAAAGATAATGTGTCCTTTAATCAAATAGCAAAGCGGTTCTGGAATTAATTTTGAAAATTGTGGATATTTTCCCAAGAGTTGCCTCTTACCTCAAGTCAAGCCTCATCAACCTCACTGTCTCCGGCAAATCCTGCCAAGACCCCGGCCCGATGCCGGTGTTCAGGGTGAGTCACCAAGGCCCGTCCCGGCGGGTTAACGGGAATGTGGAATACTTCTAGAACAACCAAGGCTTTATCATGCATGAATGCAGGTTCATACTTTGTAGATTCGCTACCCACCCACCTTCCTTGTCAACGTTAGGGCGTGATGGATATATGACTCCTTTCAGCTTGATATCTGCAACTATAAAAGCTTTGGAATTTCAACTAACAAAGACTTTTGGTCTTATCTCATTTCAACAGTTGACTCTCTCATCACTTTGAACTTTCCATCCCCACTCATCCCATCTCATTGTTCATCCCGTCTCATCAGCTTCACCGACCTCCAAGATGTCTCAACCAACTGAGCACAAATCATGGACAAAGACTGTCGTCACCACAAGCAGCAAGAGCTTCACATGCACAGTCTCCACCGATCCCACCCTCATCTCCCTCGACGCCCTCTCCGCAGCCTTCAACTCAGACTTCATCTACTGGTCCAAACCCCTCACCCACGCCCATCTCCAGACTCTAGTCCAAAACTCACTTTGCCTCGGTCTCTATGATGGTAGTACCCCAAAATCACCTCACAATCCCAAGTTTTTTTGTTATAGAAAAAATAAAATTAAATAATAAAAAAGAAAGAAAAAAGAGACTTACACAAACTGACACCATTTGTATTTATATAGAAGAAAAAGAACTAATAGGCTTTGGCCGCCTGATAACCGACCGCCTCACCTTCGCCTACCTCACAGACGTCTACGTCCTCCCCTCCCACCAAGGCAAAGGACTGGCCAGATTCATGATGTCCTGTCTGGACGAGATAGTCTCCGAATGGGATGAGCACCTGAGACGCTTACTCCTCTTTACCCGAGACGAGGAAGCTGCCAAGCTCTACAAACACACCCTCGGGGCACAAGACGTGAGGGAGACTGGCACAGGAAAGCTAATCTGCATGGAGAGAGTCGGTGGCGGAAACACCTTCCAGGCACCAGATCACTGAGATGATAGTACACCAAAAACAATCAGTAATCTCGCGTGAGCTTGATGAGTAAACAAAATGTTACCTGTCTCGAATTTGCAAACTTACTTGTCAAATAACGAACAACATCGCCAGCGTGGCCGCCCATCTTGAATTGAGATTAATAGCAACCAACATGACCTCGCCCAATATCTTCAGCACGAGCACCAGGCTTCCTAAAGCTGCCCCTTGGCCGCTCGGCAGCATATCAACGCAAAGCGAGCCCGGTAAATAAACTCCGTTCCATGTCACCAGAGATCGCCACCCCAAAATCAGTACTTCTCATCGTACTCCTCGTCCATCTCCAGCTCCGAGTCCGAGTCGTTCTCCAGCTTGTCCAGCTTCTCATTCAGAGCAGCCTTTTCCAACAGACACCTGGGTGTGCCCTTCGGGACAGCCTTTCTCTTCTTTCTGAACATTTTCTCGCCATTCGCGGCATACTCATTGTCCAGAATCTGAATAAGGGCCTCGATATCCGCTTCAACATCCCAAAATGCGTCGAAGTAATGCTGGCCGACTTTGTCGAGAGCGGCATCATGATGAGCCTGCTGACCGACCTTCGCAGCCACCAGGCCAAAGTAGCTGACAAGTTGTGTTTCCTCAAGGGTTCCCGAGACGGCCTCTTGAACATGGCCTCGGAGCTTGTGACGAGTAGCGGCACTCCTCAAACGAATGTGGCCAGCCATAGTCCTGGCTATGCATTCGAAGAAATTAACATCACCAGACACTGGGTGATACGAGTCAGTACAGCTTCACATGCTCCTTTTGGAGGCGGACTTACTGGACTCTTTCTTGCTCCCGAAGGTCTTGTCGGTTATGACCATGTTCAAGTACTTGGGCCGGTTGAGGATTCGACGGAGGATCCGCATGAAGAAAAAGCGGCTGCGGCCCAGGCCAACATTCCGATTCAGAATGTTGAGGATGGCTCTAATTGAGTTGTTGGTGGCAACTGCATGACGGATGTTCTCCTCAATCAGAGCCTCCACGTTCTCCTCTTCCTCTGCACCAAACGGCTGCCTCAATGCGCCGCTGGCAGTTTTGCGGACCTCGGCGAGCTCTTGCTGAGCCTGGCGCAAGAGGTGCTTGGTGCACTCCACCACGGCCCCCTTGGGACAAGAATCGTGACAAGTATCCCCTTTACGAAGGCCCTTGAGGTTGGTGAGCTGGGGTGAGGATCGAATATCAGCATAGCATACAGAACTCGCATAGAGCATAAGAAGATCGACTTACATCGCGCAGAACGTAACTGATGTTGTAAGCTGGGAGCTCCATCTGCTGCTGGGTGGGCTTATGCGACCAACCCTTGAGCCAGTACCGTGAGAAGGCAGTGGAATAGCCCCAACTGGGTTCCAACTTCCACGTCACAAAGTCAATCTGAATCTTGTTGCGAGATGCATCAAGACAGGGCCATATAAGCTGTTTCGATAGCTCGTTGAAGTATGAGCGGCAATTGCTCTCGCTTGCGAGCTTTTCGGAGCCGCCGTCGGTGGTTGTAAAGAGAAGCTGACAGGACATCAGGTCTGCGTTTTGCTCGACAGAGTTTGAGGGGTTTGGGACTTACGTTGAGGGCCACATAGGCCAGGCCTTCTCGACCAGGCAGGGGCGAAATTGGCGTCTCAGGGGTGGGTTCCTGAACGGTGATCTCCCAGTCGACACTCGGAGTCCAGGTTGCATCTATGAAGTAGTTGGCGAGAATTGTCGTGGCGGAGTAAACCTTGTCGGGTCTAAGGTAGCACCATCCTTTGAAGTTGAGCTCGAACTTGTCAAATTCAGTTCTGTTCTCGTCCCATCTGGGGATCAGGCAATCAGAGCGCTCCATGGCTGCTGTCCGATGTTTCCAGATGACAGAGAGCAGAGGGCAGCGAGAGCAGAGCAGAGCAGAGAGTGGGAGGAGGGGGGAAAGAGCAATGGTAGCTTTTTGTGGTGGGCCTCCCCACACAAGAAACCTTAATGATGGCGATGTGTGACGCTGGCGACCAAGATAAGGAAGCCACGACCGGTATACACGAGACGCCTCGGGGACCTCTTTTTAGGTTGGCACGAGATGGCGCCAGGCAGGCCGCAGGCACGAGAAAGCATGTGATGATGTGAGGCTTGACATGTCCAGCTTTTCCCCCAAACACCTCCGGTTCCCCATGGATGAAAGGCCGCCGTTTTATCTTTTAGAGGCAGGCGCGAGTGAGTCGGATGGGGGAGGGGCGACATGGTGGAACGGCATCACCACCACATGACGTCTCACTATCTCCAACATGATAGGCTCCCCTCGACAGCAAACACGATGCACTCACCCACTCGCCCACCGGCAAGGCAATGGGCAGCAGCGTCGACGGCAGCACGCACGCACACACACACACACACACACACGGAGCCTCCTGTGTAACCATCATGCACCTGCTCGCCGTCCCTGATAGCAACCCTCGAGTCGTCTACCACCTAGACGTGTGTGTAACTTTCTTCATCTGGATAATAAAAAAGTCATGCCCTCGGCTATCGTGTTATTGGATTGGTCCAAGTTCTTTCTGTTTCTACATCTTTAAACACTTGGGTGCACACTATCCGAGACTCGGTCTGTATGTTGCCGGCTGATCTGATCCTTCGGAAGGGATGGACACGGGATGCCCACGGGATCACACCTCCTCCGCTGCCTCAAGAAGAGATATGCTATAGGTGCGCAGGTCGTGCTTCCCTTGCATATGTATAATGTATGGCACATTCCAACTCTACCCGATCAAGAGCCTTCTCCATGACTGGCTCATCTTGACCGGCCTGAGAAGGTGGCTTGTCCCTTTTGTCCACGCTGTTCAACATCCCACGCAGTGTGTCTATTTTCGACGTTGACATCCATCTCTCTCACAGGTTCAATCACATAATCATGGGTAAACAGGAACTGCAACCTCACAATTCTGCCCTGCAACCCTACCCAGCAAACCACGCGAGCCACACCAAGGCGGGGAAAGCTTGCAGCTGCCATGTCACGACCCTGTTCCAGACCCCCGTCCAGAAGAGATCGGATCGAGTGTCAGACGGTAGGGCAGAGAAGAAGCAAAGAAAAGAGGGGAGGGTAGCAATTTTATGTGGTTGTCACGGTCCGCTGCCCGCTTATTTCTGTCGTGCTCCATGCCACATCCATCCATCTGACTTTCACATGGAGAGGAGGGGCAGAAATCAACGGAGGGGGCTGACCAGCTGCTTTTTAAGCTTGCCCTCCACCACAAAGGTCAGATAATCGATGGCCCATCTTTTCAAACTTCCCGCAGGTTCGAGGGTTTACCACAAAACACTCAACAGCTCGCTCCGTAACGCAAGTAGGCATAATTCTGTTCAGCCCTCTCATATCACCTCTCTGCCCTTCCCGAACTCTATACCCCATCTGAAAGTGCCCCGCATACCATGATCCCTCTTGGTATCATCAACGCCGTGATTTCACCTCTCTCTGCACACTGGGTCAGACGCAGTGACATGTCGCAAACTAGGTTTCCAGCAACCGGGTTATTGGTTTTCTGGGGGTAGGTTATTCACATTCATTCCTCTCCGAGTCTCGATCCATGGCTTTTGCCTCCCATCTCACCCCACACTCCAACTGACGTGATGATTAGACATGCTTCAAGCCACATACCAAACCTTTTGAAAATTCCATGCCGTTCCAGACGCCGCCAGACTTATCTCCTTCGTATAAGTCACCTATCGAGACATGGCTTGAATGTGGTCAACAGCGTGCCGTTCGTGCAGAGCTCCTGACTGACCATTTTACCTATCAAGGGAAAGAAACACTTCTCGATAGAAAATAGACCAGGCCTACTAACTGAGGAGAAAATTGGGCGGTGGTAAGTTAACTAATGCTGTCATCGGTTGTAGATCCGGGGGGTCCTGTATCTTGACGAAATACATCTTTCGATGGGTGATAATCTCGTCTGTGCCGAGACAGCTCGTCTCTGAAGCCTGGGCCAAGCAAAGTTCAGCTATCGTGATGGATTCGATCCCCACCTGGCTGCTTCTTGATGGAGGTCTTCTTCACAATCGTCAATATCTGACATGAGCAAGCTCTAGGAACAATTGTCAACCATAACATCAGCACAGGATCCCAAGTTTAAGATAAAGCAAAGACAGCTCTGTTGCCTATTCTTCAAACCACACTCCTTTACACTACAACATAAGAAACCAGATGAAAAAGAACCGAAATATATAACCAAGACGCTCCTTACACACAGAGAAAAAGCCAGTTACTATATATATAGCCAAGGGGATTAAATACTCGGGAAAGATAAGAGACCCTGACATCCAAAGAATGTGCACTGAAGAGTTCCCCGTGTGTTGATGTAGCTTTGCACAGGGAAGAGGAAGAGAGATGGGACACGCCGGTTCACCGTTTATTTGGCAGCAGCAGCCTCCTTCTTCTTGGTTGTTGTCTTGGGCTATCAGGAAGATATGGTTAGTTGTGTCTTGGGTTATGCCAGGGGGAGAAAGAGTTGTCTCACCTTCTCAGCTTTCTCGACCTTCTCAACCTTCTCGGCCTTTTCAGCCTTCTCGGGCTTGTCGGCCTTCTCCGTCTTCTCGGCCTTCTCGGCTGCCTTCTTGGGCGCGGCCTTCTTGACAGCAGCCTTGGCCTGAAAGTCAGAGAGTTAGCCCGATTGTGCCTGATATGTCCTCCACACAACCTGAGGCGCAGCCGACATACCTTCTTCGCAACGGTCTCCTTCTTGGGGGCGGCCTTCTTCTTGGTTACACCGGTGGGTTTGGCGCCCTTGGTCTCCTCCTTCGCAGCCTTGGGCTTGGTGGTCCTCTTCACGGCAGGAGCGGTGTCGACAGTCTGAAAGACACGCGGCTTGGAGTTGCCGGTGGACGAACGGGTTCCTTCACGAGCCATGGCTGATAATGTGGAATTAACCTGTGATTATCTGCTCCAAAAAAGTCAGTATGGATACACAAGTGAAGCGCGATCCCGCGAGAGCTTCAACTGTGTGTATGCGACGCGAAAGCAGCAAAAATTGCGCGATGCGCTCGGCAGACCACATGCGCGGACAGCAGCTCTCAACTTTTCTCGCGGCGCAAACTGTTCGGGCAGCCCAACTTACGTGGAAAATTGGACAGCAAAAATGCGACGAACTTGCGCAGCGCAGCGAATGAAGCAAAATGGCGTAAAAGAGGAGATAGAGACTTGTCTAGGGCAAACGATAGGAAGGGCCAAAAGTCGAAATGTCGCAAGGAAAACAAAAGGTGGGCGGCACAAAAACAACGGGGTTGGGGTGCGGTGGGTGAGCAAGCAGAACACCACACACCACTCACACCTCCTCCATTATCATTTTTTGTGTTTTCTGCCGCAACCGCTACTCCGTACCGACCCAGCAATCTCTCCAACCTCCAATCTCCAATCTCCAGCGTCCAGGGGTCAGACAGTACCACTGGGCATCCATCGTGTGTTTAGAGCGCTGGCTTTGCGGATTAGGGCATAAACAAAGAGAGCCGCCCTGGGTTAAGCTGTCCAAACCAGTGGATCTCGCCCGCCTGCCGGATGCTGTGCTGCTGCTCAAGTGCTGCTCGGCATTGCCGCGCGCCTGCTGAAGAGAAGATGGAGAGAGGTCTGCTGACGATATTGTTCCAAGGAGCAGAAACACGTGGCGATCGACGAGACAGCGCTCCTGCCGAGAGAGAGACAGGATCAAGAGTCCAGGCTCTGTCCGACTCTCTCTGCCAGTTGCAGCATTCCGGGCGGGCGTTCAATCGACCATGGTGGACTGGCTTGGTGGTACAGGACGTTGAGGCCGCCTAAACTGAAGTGGTGACGTTCATGAGCATCTTGAGGTTGTCAAGACGAAACTCGACGGCGGGTGGCCCAAAATTTCCAAAAATCGTAGGAAGAAGGAGATTGAGTTGTTTGTTTTTTCCAACTTTGACTTTCCCTGCGTCTGTCAACTTGTGAGTTGGGAATGCACGCCATAACGCGTGGGTCAACCGCTGTGGAGATCGGACCCACCACCCACCTTCGGGAGCGGCCAGCCACAACGCCGTTTGGTCACCCCGCATTTAGGGTGGGACTTGGCGGTTGAAGCTATTCAGAGCTCGATCAGAGCTCTAGTGTCCAAGCTTGGCATGATGCGGAGGAGATGCATGTTTTGATCACAACTCTGATTAATATCAAATTCAAAACTGCCGAATGTCTGTTTCAGTCATATCCCCCACGCGAATTCGAGGGCGGTAGCTTTCCGTGCAGATGGCCAGGGTGCAGATTCCGATCACCAAGCGTGTCAGTGTTTCAACGGCCGTGAGATGTGAAAATGTGTGTCAGCAGACACAAGTCTGCGTTACGTAGCCTGCCGCGTAACCTCGAGCTATAAGACAGCAGGCAACAGGAAAACCCACCAACATTCTATCCAATTTTCTTTTTGTTCTTCGCCCAACACTCAATATTTCTCCCAAACCAAGGTGGTGTTGGAGGCGGGGTTCGGCATCCCGGCACGTCACATCTCTGGGCTCTACCTATCGATACTCTACACACTCGCATCACACGCATCCCAATCCCAATCCCAATCCGACAAGAGATCTTCAGACATCACACGACTCTCGAGGTCCTTTTGTAATGCGCGAGTTACATAGCACTATTGCTACGCTAGGAGGCTATACTGGCTTCAGCCGTACGAGTTGCTGCATCAGAACAGCACAAGAGCATAGCCACGCTCTCAGCGACCCAACTGCGCAGCACGCACTGCATAGTCCCAGTTCTGGTGGTGTCGTTGTACTACCGAGGCAGAATGTCACTGTCCGACGTGCTGTAGTATGCCGATTTCCAGCCGCTCTTGGCTATGGTCTATTTCCTGTTTCTGAGCCTCGTCAGCGCTAGGACAAAGGTAGGTATTGCAGCATCATAGTTACAGCCGGTCCAATATCTCCGAGCCACGGACCAAACGACACTCGCACTCGTGCGATATTTAGTTCCAGGTTGTACTCGATGCCACATGGGGCTTGGAGTGACGGTGGAGTGTCGACAGGCCAGCTGGCTGCCGTGGTGTTTTGTTTTGAGACGCCAATGACTCTGAGAAAAAAAGATCTAGAAGAAATCCTGGGCGATGAAACAGTTTGGATGACAGCACCGCATTCTTGTGTTGCTGTTTTGGGCATCGAGATGCAGGCTCGAGGAGTGGGCCGCCGCCCGCGCCTTACACCGCACAGCGCCAAGCCTTGCTCTTTTGACGGGATTGGCGGGGGAGGGGGTTGGTGGGTCCAGCCTGCCGGGGTCTTGCTCAGGCTTGCATTGGTTCCTGGCTCAAGCTCGGACTGGGTACCAGGGTACTTGGCCCCAGCTCTTGCTGTCACAGATGACGGGACCTTTGCCTTGTGCCTTGCGATGCCATGCCTTGCCCAGAAACTCGACCACCTCCTGGTTGTCTGAAGAAGTGCTTTCGCGAAGAATTGGCGAATGGCCAGAATCAATAAAACCTTGCCCCTCCAGGCCTCCACTATTCCCACCCCAACCAAGTCCCGACAACATCCAAACTTTCAACCTACAGCATCATCGACTCCTCCTGCTCTTCACTTCGGCACATGCGGTTGCAACAAACAGCCCACCACGAGACATGACCTAGCCCCTTTTAGCCTTGCCTGACACCTCAGCTTCCCCCCCCCTGTATTCCTCATACCTAATATTTTCTTCGGTCTCGGCTTTGACCTTCCCAACCATTCGAACGTCGGGGTTGCAAAAAGCTGCCGCCGCCGCCAACATAACGTTTTTGCGGCTCCGACCCAATTCCTCACTCGACGACCTTTAACATCGACGACGCGATCCAAGAACCGAGAAGATGATCGTGTCGCGCAATGCCTACCGTCTCGTCGCTATCGTCTACGGCTGCATAGTCATCTACATATCCGCGCCCTACCTTTACCGATTCGGGGACCATGTGAGACAGACGAACCCATTTTCGGGTCAGAAATGGATCGAGCAAGCCTTCGTCCCGACCGAAGCCGAGCTGGCATGCCTCAACGGCCAGTCTTCCTCGTTTGAACACCATCACAACCACCATACCACCGACGATTCCGAACCAATACCAAACATTGTCCACTTCAACTACGGGCTGAAGAACCCACTGTACAACCCGGGTGCAGGTCACTTTGATTTCCTCAGCTACCTCGCAGTCAGGTCAGCCATCGTATCTCTCAAACCGGACGCTGTATATCTTCATTATACCTACCTCTCCGAACCACCCTCGCCGGACCCCAACGCCGACCCATTAACCAATCCTTGGATTCGTCGGTTGTCAAAAGACATCACGTTAATCCACCATCCACCCACCTCCTCATCCGACCACTACGCTCACGTCTCGGACACATTGCGCCTCAAAGCCCTCCTGACAGACGGAGGCATCTACCTCGACATCGACGCCTTTGCCCTCCGTCCCTTTGACCACATCCTCGCCAACCCCTCGCCCCATGATGTAATCCTGGGCGCAGAAGGCGGAAACCGCTGGGGTCTCTGCAACGCCGTCATCGCCGCCCGGCCCAACTCGACTTTCCTCACCAGGTGGCTAGAATCCTATAACAACACCGACCTCTCCAAGGAATGGAATTACCACTCTGTGATTCTGCCAAAGGAGCTCGCCGAGGAGCACCCAAGCGAGGTTTGCGCCCTGGCGCCCGATGCGTTTTTCTGGCCGACATGGACGTGGAGGCATATTGACTGGATGCATGAGAGGTTGGACAAGGAAAAGGCAAAGTACTGGGAGGGCGAGATTGAGAGGCATGGGGGCAGCTTGTTTACGAACCAGCTGGCGTATCATGCCTGGAGTCAGATGGCCTGGGAGAGGTATTTGAGGGAGTTGACGCCCGAGGTGGTGCGGGGCAGGGATACGAGGTTTAATTTGTTGATGAGGAGGTTTTTGGAGGATGATTTATGATGGGGTTGAGGAGGTGTTTGTGTATATCATGAAACGGCGTTTTTGGTCTGTTTTGGGAGGTGAGCGATTTGGCAAAGGAGGAAAGAAGAGTATTGTTAATGGCTGATGACGATGGGAAGCGGCGGTGTTGGACATTGGGACAAAGGAGCATGGTAGCGGTTGGTTTTTTCTTCCGTTTCTTTTCTCTTTTTGAATCTTGATAAAGATACCCCAGGTTTATGTCGCGCGTCTATAAACCCTCCGACGATTTTATATACAGTATGGCATTGAACTGTTTCGTTCGTTTATTTGGCCTTTTTTTTTTTTTTTGGGTTTTTGGTACATTTTGGAAGAGAGAGCACATATACACAAATGATAATGATATAATATTTTGACAAAGAAGGAACAAGTAGGTCGAGGCCTGTGCCAAGATGGGAGTGTTTCTTGTTCCTGACCCCTATTGGAGTGATGGGAAAACTTTGGGCAGGCTTGAGGTTTGGTTCTGCATGGTACTTGTGTGGGTTGATGGGTAGGTAGGGTACAAGTCCGAGAAAATATCCGTATGATCAAATCGGCCGAAGGTACGGGCGATTGGCGGTTTCTTTTCTGGGTATTATCTAATTATAGGATTTGATCTTTTTTTTTATATGAGATCTTGGCCTCCTTTATATTACATCTCCTCGTCCATGCCCCATCCCTTGCTTCAACACCAGAAACTCCTCGCCATCGCTTTTCAACGAGAAAAAGAAACCACCATGCTCTTTTTCATGTACATCAAAAATTAAAACAATATTTACCTCTCAACCACCCCCCCCCCCCCCCCCCCTACCTAAGCCCACCAACCTCCTCACCCACCCCAACGTCCCCAACCTCTTGCTCTTGTTTGGCTGCGTACAACCGGTTCAGGCAATAACTCGCATGGTTCCTCGTCCGGCTGCCATCGCACTCACACCGACACCCAATCCCATCCTCCCTCTCTTCTCGAACTTCAAACGCCGGCCCCCCCAGGACTTCGCTCTGCAGTAACTGTCCTCCCGGAGCGTTGGCAGGACATTGGAAGTACCAATCATGCCTATACCCAATATCCTCAAAGTGGTGAACCTTGTGCGAATCAAGTAGCATCGCCAGCGCGAGCGAATGCACCGGTGCATCTCCCCACTGTTTTCTCATGATCAGCATCAAATTCTTTCCAAGTCGGAAAAAGGGGGTTAGGGTACTCACCCTCTCCTCATAAAACCCCCCCCTCTCGTCCAACCTCTCAAACAAATCCTGATAAGCATTACTCCTGAAAAAGTCCAAACTCGCAATCTCGAAATTGCTCCAGTAATGGCACAAATTCCACCCGTCCCCACGCCCGTCCCTATGCCCCAACCCGCTCATCATTTTCCTGATCGGCCAAGGCAGCCAGCTCGGGCTCACCATCGCCTTCCACAGCTCGGTGGTCCGATAATCCTGCTCCTCCTTCCAGTCAGCCACCGCCCGAAACAACCCCGGGCACGTCGCCGGCTCCTTAGGCAGCGCGACGGTAAACCCGTACACCTTTTCATGCTTGGCCATCTCCACAAACGGGTCGTACGTCAGCGCGCAGTAGAATTCCACGTCCGGTTCAATCCGCCAGTACCATTTGTACTCCCTCAGCGCCTTTAGCGTGTAAAATTTGCCCGAATAAAACCTGCACATGTGGTGGTATGATTCCAGCCCACCGTACAACACCCCCTGTTGGCCCTGCCTGTTGATCGCCTCTCGAGCGCGGTCTTGGTTTATATTCGCGGGGAAGCCCCATTCTTCCTTGGGTATGACCTCGAACTTTGCGCCGCCCGAGACGGTCTCGTTCATGGTTGAGACAAATTCCGGGTCCCAGTCCTCGTCGTTGAGGAAGACGATGGGGTAGTGGAACCAGCGGTTGAAGTGTGTTTCTATCGAGATTACGGTACGAAGGGCTTTTTCGACTTCGTGGTTGCGGGCGAGCATTACTATTGCTGCGGCTTCGCGGGGCGCCGAGGGGGAGAGGTCGGGTTCCTGGCATGAGGTGTAAAAGGGGACGTCGAGGTCGCGGGCGGGGTGGTGGATGGTGTAGTAGGAGTTGTGGAGGTAGACTTCGGTGAGGAGGGCGAGGAGGAGGAGGGTGAGGGGGATGCGGTAGGGGTGGAGGCGGGTTAGGAGGGTGCGGAGGGGGCCGCGGGGGCGTGTTAATGGGGGGAAGAGCATTTTGATGGGTCAGGAGGTTGGGATTTGAGGATTTTTTTTCTGGTTTTGTTGTGAGGGAACTGTCGTCGTTGTAGTTGTCGTCGTCGGGAGGAGTGGTATATAATCGTAATTGGCGGTCACCCGGTAGCGAAGGGGTATATATCGATCTGCCGAGAACTGGCGGAGAATGACAGAGAGAGGGAACGACAAGACAGAAAAAAAGACTGAGGACCAGCTCTGGAAAGCTATCGCGAGATGCTCATCTGGCGCTCCATGGCCGCGCGCCTTTGTGATTGCTCAACTGGAAAAGAAAAACAAATGTTGTACCTGGTCCCCGTCGTTTACCCTCTGGAGCCACTTCATAATTTACCCATCTAGCATAGGCCAGTCCAGACCAGCCACAAGGGTCCATCCAAAGCTTCTGTAGCCCGTGCTTCTGCATGAGCTTAACATTCTCTCGGCTAGTTCCAGAAGGGAATAGCGCTGTCTCTCCCCGACAAGGGGATCCGCTGCTGCAAACTGTTGGATGTTTCGGCTGATGCCAAGACACCGGCCAAGGAAGAGAGTGGCGTACCCGACGGCAGTGCAAGGAAAATGCTCCAATTGCCAAATGTTGAAAAGAAGAGAGTGCCGGTTTTCCAGATGTTGGTTCTTCGTGGAGAAAGAACGGCTACGCGTCGTGCCCAACGTGTAACCACAACTGGGGGGATGATCGGATGTCGGAAAGTGATGCCAATTCTTCTTACGAGATCCTCCACTGGGCAGGCCTGGCTGGGTGGTGGTGGCCAAGCGGTGTGATGCGCCCAAGTTACTATATAGTCCATCTCGTCCGCCTTGTACTCCCCTCACCTTCAAAACCGACTCAGCTGGCGATCAATTGGACAAGGCTATCCCCGTTGTACAGCCGCTGAAAAAAAGACCCGTTCCCTTTTCCAACGCCGCATTTCCTCTTTCTCCCTTACCTCGACTCGATTTTATAAGAGTCTCTTTTTTTTGTTCTGTAAATATTTTTGGCCCCCCCCCCCCCCCGCCTCCCATGTCCAACGACATGCCCTCGTTACTCTCCCTCACCCAGTAGACACAAAAGCAAAAAAAATGAAAGACCCCATCAACTACGACCACTGTCTCTACGACACCGACTCAGACGACCATGAAACCCACGAATTCCTCCGCCGCTCCAGCTGGGACAACCACCACCGCAACCTAACCCACCTCCACACCAAATACATCACCCCCACCAAACCCTACCTCCTCAAAGCCCAACGCTTCCTCTCCCGCCTCCGCCTCCTCCGCCGAACAGCCTGGCGCGCGACCCCCCGACCCCTCATCCTCCTCCTCAAATCCCTCCTCCTCTTCCTCACCTCGATCCTCATCCTCCTCCTCTTCCTCACCTCGATCCTCATCCTCACCCCCATCTTTCTGCCGTCCTACAACAACCCCCCAATACACTACTCCCAAACCCTCCACGCCTGCCGCGGCACCTCCCCCCGCGAAGGCTGCGCAAACCTCTTCAACGAGCAAGTCTTCATCGCCACAATCCTCTACGACAAAAACGGCAAGCTCGCCTCAGGCCCCTTCTCCGACCGCCTCCTCCGCCTCATCCGCATCCTCGGCCCCGACAACGTGTTCCTGTCAATCTACGAAAACGACTCCGGCCCAAAGGGCAAAGCCGCGCTCGAGAAGCTCAAATCCCGTGTACCCTGCAAACACGCCGTCACATCCGACGACCACGTTTCCCTGGATAACTTCCCCACCGTCCTCCTCCCCGACGGCACACCCCGAGTAAAGCGGGTCGCCTACCTAGCCGAACTTCGAAACCGGGCCCTGAGACCGCTGGATCAGAGGACAAAGGAGGATAGGATCAACGGGGTCAGAAAGTTTGACAAGGTTCTGTTTTTGAACGACATCGTTTTTGACCCCATTGACGCGGCGAATTTGCTGTTCGGGACGAATGTAGACAAGCAAACTGGACGGGCGGCCTATGTCGCCGCGTGCGCGATGGATTTCTGGTTCGGACATAGAATGTACGACATCTACGCCATGCGCGACGCGGACGGGTACGCGAGCTACCAGGCCATCTATCCCTTTTTTGGGGAGAGGGGGAGGGGGCTGTCCCGGAAGGATGTTCTCGAGAGTAAGGATGCGGTGCGAGTGAAGAGTTGCTGGGGGGGCATGATGGCTATGCAGGGGAGGTATGTTCAGAATGTGGAGGAGGAAAAACCAAGAGGAAAAGCGTGGGAGGAGTGGGTGGTGGCGGGACATACGATTGATCCGGGGAATCATACTCGTGCTGATGCTGATGCTGCTGTGACGGGACCGGTGAGGTTCAGGCATGAGCCCGGGGCGTATTATGATGCGTGTGAGTGTTGTTTGTTTTCGGCGGATTTGACCGAGGCGGCGAAGAGGCAGGGGGATTTACCGGCTGGGGCGATGAAGGGGAGTGAGAGCGGGATTTATGTCAATCCTTATATTCGTGTGGCGTATGAGGAGGGGGTGTTTAAGATGATTCATGTCGTGAGGGTGTGGGAGAAGCTGATCAGGATCATTTATGACCTTCAGACCAGGCTGTTTGAGCCGGTGGCGCAGAACCCTTGGAGGACGGTGCAGCCAGGGGAGACCTTTGAGGAGGAGATTTGGAACGGAAAGGACTGGGAGGTTGTTACTCGCGTTGGGAGGCCGGGGTTGTTTTGCGGTGTGAGGGAGATGCAAGTCCTGCGCGTTGGGGGGAAGAGGGCGGGGAAGAGTGGGAATAACTGGGCGAATACAAGAATGCCGCCGGGGCAGAGGATGGAGTTTGCGACGTGGTGGGGGGAGATCTTGCCCGAGAGCTGGAGAAAGGATTATGAGGATACCCCTGAGGAGGAGAAAGACGAGTTTTTTTACAAGTTGTATTCTTGGGATAAATGATAGGGTGGCACACACGTGTACATACATACACGTGGCCGGTCACCCGCCGTGATGTGATTGATTGTGTGCAAGATCACACGAGAGCAGCAGCATTTTTGGATATATATACACGGAGAGGGAAGTAACATTGGGCGCATAACTTGCATATTATAGAGTACTATAGTTCATATGCCTTAGGTACATCACAGCATACAGCGGAGGATAGTGGGGGATTAACGACTTTATTTCGCTGGATATCCTGTTGGCTTGGTTTTTGGATGGTAAATAACAGTAATGAGAAACCACTTCTAGGTTGAAGATGTGTTACCTTGCGGCGGGAATCTAGTGAAGCGTGATATGGAACAAAAGTCCCTTGGTGACCTCAACACAGAGCTTATCATGGAGCACAGCTCCTTACCTACAATTCATCTTCGATATTTTTTAATCGAGCCTTCTACTCCCTTCGATCATATATATATATATCCCCTTGCTGACATCCATCTACACGCTATTGTCTCCTACATGTCTAGTTTCCTGCACTTGATATCCCTTCAATCTACTCTTCTGTCCCCTCCCCCTCCCCCCCTACGAACGTCATTCTTGGCATCAATCTGGGGAACCCCTGTTGCAGATCGGGCCGGGCCTTGGCGTGCAGCTGCCATCCCATCTCCCATCTTCGACTTATCTTTCATCCCCGCTCACGTCATTCATCAGATCAGACTCCCAAAATACTGCAACTGAGATGTTATATTTCATTGCATCTCACCATTGCTACTCACTCTTTTTACTGCTAAATGTGGAAAACCTCCCTCATGATGACAACGACTCAGTGTTTACAAGCACTGAAAGTACCAATCATTAAGCTTCTGGCACGTCCATGGGGCCTCGCACTCCTTCGGTCCAGTCCAGTTGATCCCGCCGCACTGTCCCCACCTCTTCGCACGCTCAGTCGGTTGAGTGATGGGCGCCGAGCTGGTGGTGGTGAATCTGGTGGAAGTGCTGGTGGTGCTGATTCTGGTCGAGGTGGAAGACGTGCTGGTAGTGGTAACCCTCGAAGAGGTAGAGACAGTCGTAGGCCTGACACTAGTAACCAACGTCGTGCTTATAGTCGTAGGGATCACCACGGACGAAGTCGTCGGCACAGCACTCGTCGTCGTAGTAGCATCACACCACTCCTCCTCATCATCGTCGCTATCCTCCCCACCTCCGTTACCCGGGTCACCACCCTCCACAACCCCCTTTGCAAACATCACACCCCTCCCATTGGTGCCCACATAAACCTGCCCCTCCACACTGGCACTTCCCACAACCCTATTCGCACCGATAGCCCCAAATCCTTGCAGCCCCTGGATATCGACCCACGACTCTCCATTATCTGAGCTGGCATACAACCTCGGTCCATTCAAGCCGTAGCCGAAAGCATAAATATTCCACTTCGACCCTCCCTCACCGAGACCGAAGGCGAACTGCTCCGTGTTGGTGATGCTGCCCTCTCCAACCTGGGCGTAGTTGAGGCCGTAGTCAGTGCTGCGGAGGAGACCGATGTTGGTGGAAACCCAGACTTCACCAGCGACGATGGGGTGGGCGACCATATCCTTGATGGCCACGACAGTCATGGATGTGGTGCTGCTTCTGGGGTCGACGGCTACTGTCAAGAACGTGGCGCCGCCGTCCAAGCTGCGGTAGAGGGTCCCTTCGAAGCCGGCGTAGAAGATGGAGTTGTTCCGCTTGTCGGCTGCGATGACGGCGCCCGAGGGGAGGGAGTCGACGGGCGTGAAGATGCCCTCGGCCGAGTCAGCCGAGGGGACGACAGAGCCGGGGTTGTAGGTGGTTGCGGTGGAGGTGTGGAAGCGGAGGACGCCGGCGTTGCCGGAGGACCAGAGGACGGTGGAGGCATCGGCCGAGTAGGCGAGGGTGCCGCTGTGGTCGGTGTTGCTGGCGCCGTAGTGGGGGGACCAGGTGAGGCCGCCGTCGGTGGAGATGGCGATCTGGGGAGAGCCAGGGGAGTTGCCCACGCGGACGACTTGGTTGGGCTTGTTGCCGGCGTAGTCTGTTCACTTGTTAGTGAAGCTCCTGTATGGATGGTCTCTGCCACTTACCAACGTCAGTGGCACTGGTCCACATGGGGTTCATCCAGGGGGTCTGAGGAGAAGTCAAGAGATCGGCGGCCTCCTTAAAGGTAAAACCGTTGTTGTCACCAACAGCGGCGAGAAGCTCGGAACCGCCGGGGGCAGATGCAAGGCCAAGGACAGCCATCTCCTCGATACCGGCAGCAAGAGAGTGGATGGTGATGTTGCGGGTGGTATCCCACTTGGTCAAATCGTGGCCACCGAAAAGGGTCAAACCAGTGCCGTACAGCCAGTGGTCGCTGTCATGGGGGTTGATCTCGAGGGCCTCAATCATCCATCCCAGGCGCTTGCTGTCCTGAGAGAGAAAGCCGGTGTTGATCCAGGGTGCTTTATCAGTCTGGAGGATTATTAGTACGAGGCCAATGGGTTAAAAAAAGACGCATAAGCTCACATGAATGCTATAGTACAGGTTCATGTCGGGATACCCAGCCCACTCCCAGAGAGGAGACCAGGTCTCACCAGAGTCGGTAGAACGGAAAAGTTGGGCGTCCGGCCACCAGGAGTTCAAGCTAGCCACGACAAGCGTGCCAGGCTTCTTCATGTCAAGACCCAAGCCGCCAAAGCCGTAGAAGAGATCACCGCCAGAGACGGGGGTGATGTCCTTCCAGGTGCTAGTGGTGAGGTCGTAGCGGTGCACACCGCCAGAAGTACCATCATACGGACCAGCTCCGTCGCTGTAAGTGAAGTACAAAGCCTTCTCGGTTGGCTGAAGCTTGCACTTGTGAGGGAAGTACTTCGTAGGCTGGCCGGCGACCGGGGCCCAGGTGGCACCAGCATCGTCGGAAACATAGACGGAAGCAGTGGTGTTGTCAGCAGTACCGACGAAGATGCGCGAGGTGGCGCCATTTCTGACGCTCGAGGTCGAATCGAAGGTGACAAAGGTGAGACCGATCTTGTCTCCGTTGTAACCATAGAGGTCGCTGGGGTCCACGATGTAGGATCCCGCGTTGGTGAAAGAGGTCACCTTGGAGAAGGTGGCACCACCGTCGGTACTCTTCCACAGCCCATTTCCACTGCGAGCACCAAAGTAGATGATGTTGGAGTTGGCGGGATCGACAGCCAACCTCTCGCCCATACCACGGCCAGGCATGTTGCCGCCCACCTTGAAAGGCAGGTCGGTAGACACCCACGTGGCTCCCTTGTCGTCACTGCGGATGATGGCGCCCGGGTTGGGATCCCAGTTTGTGGTGTACATGCCCACCGCCGCATAGACTCTGTTTGGCTCCTGAGGGTCCAGGGCGACAGCATCGATGCCCCAATGGCCCCTATCTCACGAGATGTCAGATATTTCCGACTCTAAAAACACTCAGTCCCGGAAGACAACCTACCATCTTTCATCAGTGCCAAGGCTATCGGTGATGGGAGTCCAGGAGTCGTCAGGGTTCAGCCTGTAAAGACCACCAATGTCGGTCCTGGCATAAGCCACCCCAGGAGTAGTCGGGTGAAAGACGATACCGGGGACGAAGCCACCACCGCCACCAATGTTCACATTCTTCCACAAGAACTCGGCGGCAGCAGGAGCAGCCACAGCAGCCACAAGCAGGTGGACGAGCGACAAGACCTTCATGGCCGCAGAGAGGACGTCGGTTGAAGAAGTGTTGCAGGCGCGCACCGAGCAGAGCCCCAAGCACGTCAACAGAGGCGGGATGCATGGCAGTTAATATATCAACACTTTCTTGCCCTCCATCCGAGGGATATGGGGCCACTTGGCGGTCCATCGAGGACCATCCGATGGCTCTGGCCGTCTTCCCGTCGACATTCCGACAGGACGTACCACTTGGTGCAAATTGAAGCTGTGGTCCAGGACCATGGTTTGTGGTGGAGAGGCCAAAAATACCAACCAACCCCAGCTAGTCCCGCTCGCCAGTCATGATCGAACCTGGAAATGGACGTTGTCGTCCACCACTCCCGAGTTGCCGTCGATACGACGCTGCTTTAGGCGCACCAGGAGCATCTCCCTCCGTGTTTCCAGGGTGCCCTGGTGCAGCGGCGAGAATCTGCGGTACAACGGTGGCGGACGGTGCCTGATCGAGATCATCTGGCCGAGAGACGGTGAGCGGACAAGCAGCTGGATCTAGATCCGGGGGGGCGTGAAATAAGAGAGGTCTGGTGTTGCAAAATGTACGGTTTTCGACAACACATGCGATGGATGGGAGGCAATATCGGCGAGCAGTTTGTATGAAACAGATCGAAATATCAAGCCGCAGTACACATGTAAAATAGGCCCAGAATTAAGGACACTTTGAGATGACAGAGTACATGTAAGATGAAGGAAGTTGGCGATTGGTGGTGATGATGGTTGAATGAGGGAGAAACGCACAACCCTAACCCGCAGGCCATGGCCGCCAAGACTGTGGTTCACATGAAGCATCCCCCGCATTTGCTGCTTCCCCAGATTGATCAAGGTGTGGGGTAATGGTTGCAGGTGCCAGGTGACCTGAATCGTGCTTCCTTCCTCGGACAAACCCGTTGGAGGACAACAGCTTCTTCCAGTGACAAGCTCGAGATGTGACCTCCGTTCCCCTCTGTCGTCATTCAACTTAGTCCTTTGCCATCGTCTCTCTGCTCTCCTTTTGCATGACTCCATAAGATACTCAACGTCCACTGTTCCTTGGCTTCCATCCCCCACATCGAATGCCCGGTGCATCTTGACGAGGCAATTGCTCCGATGTCTCATGGAAACGTCCCCTCCGCGCCCCTGGGAGAGGCACCCTCCTCCGGCCTGGGGCCAAACCAAGATCGCAAACTCCCGCCGTCTACTCCGGACTGGAATAACCTCAGGATCATCCACCGGAACACCCTGCCGCCCAGAGCCCACTTCTTCCTGTACCAAAACGCCTGGGATGCCTTATCTCGCGATGTCTCTCTCTCCAAAGCACAGCTCCTGTCCGGAAAATGGCTCTTCAATCTTGCCAGGTCACCACTGCAGGGTCCTGTCGACTTCCACAAGCAGTCTCCCGTGCAGCTGGCAGACACACCCGAATGGGTACCCGTCGCTGTACCCGGAATGTGGCAGCTCCAAGGCCACGGCAAAGGGCCACAGTACACCAACCTGAACTTTCCCTGGCCTGTCAATGTTCCTCACGTACCAATTGATGACAATGAATGTGGCCGCTATGTAACCCAATTCTCGCTTGACCAACAGGATAAGGGCCATCAGCTTAGGCTACGTTTCGAAGGTGTCGATGCTGCCTTTACCGTCTGGGTCAACCACCAACAGGTTGGCTACTCCCAGGGCTCCAGGAATCCAAGTGAATTTGATATCACACAATTTGTCCGTTTTGAAGACATCAATGTTCTCTCGGTCGAGGTTTACCAACGGTGTGACGGGAGCTACATCGAAGACCAAGTCAGTCGTCCCTATATCTCTCCCAAATCTGTTATCTAACCCCTCCACAGGATCAATGGTGGCTCAGTGGCATCTTTCGAGATGTTTGGCTGCACAAATTTCCCAAGACGCACTTTGAGGACGTTCAGATCCAGACTGAGTTACACAACAAGTACAAAGATGCAACACTCCATGTAGGGGTCAAACTTAACTCCGACGCTAATGTCACCCTGAGTCTCTTGGATGCGGACAATGTCGAGATTGCGAGAAAGACAAAGGCCGGCGAGGGAACGATACACTTTGATGTCCATGTCAAGAATCCCCACAAATGGACGGCCGAAACCCCCTATTTGTACCAGCTCGCTCTTTCGATGCCTGGTTGTTCCCTTGCTGAACGGGTTGGCTTCCGCAAAGTTGAACTCATTGATGGAGTCTTTTGTGTCAACGGACAACCTATCAAGCTCCGCGGTGTCAACAGACATGAACATCATCCTGACCATGGACGGGCAGTTCCCTTTGACTTTTTGAAGGAGGACCTCCTGCTCATGAAGAGGCACAACATCAACGCCATCCGAACTTCTCATTACATCAATGACCCCCGGCTGTACGAACTGGCAGATGAGCTTGGCTTGTGGATCTTGGACGAGTGCGACCTCGAGTGTCATGGCTTGTTTGTTGTGGGTGTGGATGGTAACAAGCTCACATCCGACAATCCGGATTGGGAGGAAGCCTACATTGATCGTGCTCGCCAGATGGTCATGCGGGACTTCAACCGCCCAAGCATCATCCTCTGGTCTCTGGGCAACGAGTCTGGCTATGGCCGCAACCACAGGGCCATGTACAAGTTCATCAAGAGCCTTGACAAGAGTAGGCTTATCCACTACGAGGGTGATTGGAGAGCCGAGTCCGCAGATGTTATCAGCAGAATGTATCACTCCATACAAGACACGGAGAAGTATGCAAAGGACCGCTCGTGGGACAAGCCTGTTGTTCTGTGCGAGTACATTCATGCGATGGGAAATGGGCCAGGTGCTATCAAGGAGTACATTGACTTGTTCTACAAGTACCCGAGACTCATGGGTGGTTTTGTGTGGGAGTGGGCTAACCATGTGAGTGCAGTCCTGGTTTGGTATGTTTCTTCACAAACACCTAACATCCACACAGGGTCTGAGAACCAAGACCAAGGACGGCAAGGAGTACATGGGATACGGCGGTGACTTTGGTGACGACCCCAACGATTACAACTTTGTTCTTGACGGACTCTGTTTCTCTAACCATACTCCGACCCCCGGTCTCATTGAGTACAAGAAAGCCATCGAACCTGTCCAAACATTGGGCATTGAGAAGGGTGGTCTCGTCCGAATTGTCAACCGATACGATTTCCTTACCCTTGATCATTTGATATGCCATTTGTCGTGGGTAGACGGCTCGGGCTCCTATAACCTCGGCATGGTAGAAGTTCCAAAAGGTGAGTAGTTCTGGTTGTATGGTGGCGAATCAAGCTGACTGTCATCAGGCATCAAACCCCATTCTGAAGGCATCATTCGCATTGAACTCCCCTCCTCTACACGGCCATTATCTCATTTGACACTGGAGTTTCGACTGGCCGCGCCAACGGGCATGTGGGGAGATGCCGGTCATCTTGTTGCCACAGGTCAAGTTGCGGTTCACCCTCCAAAGCAGTTGCAGACGCTGCCCCTGAAAATGAAGCGGATTGGGGCCGTCAAGACTAGTTTGATCAACCCGTCACTGCTCTCCATCGTTGGGTCGGGGGGGATCTCGTGGGATTTTGACCTTACTATCGGTCAACTGGTGAGCTGGAAAAATCCGAAGCAGTCTGATGAGAATATCCTGGCCGAGCCGCTGGGGTTTGAGATTTATCGCGCCATGACGGACAATGATCGGGGATGCGACTTTGGCAGGAACTGGTTTAACAGACGGTTGCACCAGGCGAAGTTTCATTTAGTGGAGGCGACGTGGAAGGAGTTGCATGAGGGAGCAGCGACGGAGATTGTGGTCAAGGGACGGATGGCGCCTCCGGTGTTGAACTGGGCTTTGGAGTTGAAGATTACGTACATGTTGGGCGGGCATGATGTTGCTATCAAGGTGGAGGCGAAGCCTACAGGGGCCCTGCTCCCCAGAGCATGGGGGCGACTGGGACTGGTGACGAAGCTCAAGGGGGTTGAGAGTGTGGAGTGGTTTGGACGGGGCCCAGGGGAGGGGTACAGAGACAAGAAGATGAGCCAGCTGGTTGGGTGGTGGGGTGCGAAGGTGGGGGAGCTGATGACGGATTATGAATTCCCACAGGAGACGGGGAACAGGACGGATGTGAGATGGGTCAGGTTTAGGAACAAGGAGAACAAGAGTTTGTTGAGTGTGGATTGGCAGAATTGGCAGGCCCAGAAGGGAGGAAGGGAGATGGGGGATTTTAGCGCGTTGAGGTATTCGACAAGGGAGCTGGACGAGGCGAAGCATCCTTTTGAGTTGGAGGATAAGGGGAAGGAAGGGGAGACGGTGGTGCATTTGGATTGGTGGCATCACGGGTTGGGGACTGGGAGTTGTGGGCCCGAGACGTTGAGGGAGCATACCCTTGAGGCCGGGAAGGAATATGAGATGGAGGTTTTGCTGTACTGAGGTGGTTGGAGGGATATGTGCTGGTGAAGGGTGGTTATCTTTAGTGTTTATGGTTCAAGATGAAGGGGGGCCGAAGGTATTTGATTGGGGAGATGTAAATTTATTCCTTGTTTAGTCTTATCAAAGTCCTTTTAGGTACATGTGTGTCGAAATGTCTGGTTTGATGCTTCTTACGAGGCTCTGAGATGCTGATGTGCTCGATGTTATCATCTAGGTCAGCCTTTGATCCAATCTATGGAGCCCTTGCCCCAATGTTGTTCACCATCATGGCCAGCACCCATCGACCGCTCACCTGCGTCGCTTGTTATCGCCATTCTTTTTACTTGCCTTTCGCCGTGATGGGTGTTATTATGGGTAATCTCTCCAAGCTCGCTTCACGACCGGGGCCCATTGGAAGCAGCTTCTCGACTGAAGCATCATAGCATCATAGCATCATGGAACAATGATGGAGGTCAGTGGTGTGGAGATTAGAGGTTGGTTGTCGTCAGTCATCGGTGGCAAAATGGATCAGCTGAGAGACACGTAGCTACTCCAAGAACAAACGTGCTGCCCAACAGCAATCGTCGCGAAGGGATCAAAGGACAAGTCTGGACACAATTTCAATTATGCATAGGCATTCTCACTTGCAATCGGGCCAAAAGGTAATAAACCAAAACATGATGATTTATTGCAACACAGCCTTCTTTTGAGGCATGGATTGTGATGGTCATATGCTTAGATAAACCCAAAAAAACCATTGGCTGCCATGTCGGTCAACCACCCATAACGCTGAACGCCTCATTCATATCCCAGATGCATAACCATAACCCGCTTACTGTCCACCACGGAGACGGAGCACCAGATGGAGTGTGCTCTCCTTCTGGATGTTGTAATCGGACAAAGTCCGGCCGTCCTCCAACTGCTTGCCAGCAAAAATCAGGCGCTGCTGGTCAGGAGGAATACCCTCCTTGTCCTGAATCTTGGCCTTCACATTATCAATCGTATCCGAAGACTCGACCTCCAATGTGATCGTCTTTCCCGTGAGGGTCTTGACGAAAATCTGCATGCCACCACGAAGTCTCAACACCAAGTGCAGGGTGCTCTCCTTTTGAATGTTGTAGTCGGACAGAGTCCGGCCGTCCTCCAACTGCTTGCCAGCGAAAATGAGGCGCTGCTGGTCAGGCGGGATGCCCTCCTTGTCTTGGATCTTTGCCTTCACGTTGTCAATGGTGTCTGACGACTCCACTTCCAAGGTAATGGTCTTTCCGGTCAAAGTCTTGACAAAGATCTGCATACCACCGCGGAGGCGAAGGACAAGGTGAAGGGTGGACTCCTTCTGAATGTTGTAGTCAGAGAGGGTGCGACCATCCTCAAGTTGCTTGCCAGCAAAGATAAGACGTTGCTGGTCGGGTGGGATACCCTCTTTGTCCTGGATTTTCGCCTTGACGTTGTCGATGGTGTCGGAAGATTCCACCTCAAGGGTGATGGTCTTGCCGGTCAGGGTCTTGACGAAGATTTGCATACCGCCACGGAGACGGAGGACGAGGTGGAGCGTAGACTCCTTCTGGATATTGTAATCGGAGAGGGTGCGGCCATCCTCGAGCTGCTTGCCGGCAAAGATCAAGCGCTGCTGGTCAGGGGGAATGCCCTCCTTATCCTGGATCTTGGCCTTTACATTGTCGATGGTATCCGACGACTCGACCTCGAGGGTGATGGTCTTGCCAGTGACTGTGGGAGATGAGTTAGCGACCGCGAGGTCGTCAAAGACAGGGCGGGGAAGGCAACTTACGAGTCTTGACGAAGATCTGCATCGTGGCGACTGATGGTTCGCTTCTTGTGTGATGAGAGTTGATATCGTTGATGGATGGGGATGGCCTTTCTTGATGGCTGGCTCAAAAGGGTGAGTTGTGTGGTGGTTTTAGGAAAAGAGAAAGATATGGAGGATGGGAGCGGGCGGAAGTTAAATAGGTCGGTCGGTCGGTCAGTCAATGAGCAAACAGGATAGAGAGAGAGTAGGGCTGCCGGTTCAAGGCAGGCGGGCGCGGGGTGGCTGAGCTCATGTGTCAGGCCGGGGCAGGAGCCACCTTCTGGCCCAGGCAGAGGCAGGGAAGTGCAGGGAAGGCGCCAGAACGGGCCAGTCAGAGCCAGTTCGGTGGTTTGTTGTTGTGGGGCGAACAAGGGCAATCAGGTCCGTCTGATAACACCAGCCTCGCCGCGCAGCTCTTGCCACAACCGGAGTTGATGAATAAGCACTGGAAGTTCCAGTCGACTTTTGCGGACTTGTGCAGCAAATGAGTCCGTGATGGTCACGGTTTTATGTTTCGCCTTTGTTTGTCTCAATTCCACATGGTTGACGCCTTTGGGTCTTTGCCCTTCGTGACCGGCACTCTTCGTCCTCAGTTTTGCCAAACCCTTCCAACCTTGCTGCTGGGCCCTCCCCCGCATTTACCGATAAGACCAGGGTCCTTGTGACGTGGACGAGTTGGTGCACCCAACTGGCATGGCATCATGACGACCGACCTGCAACAGACAGGACAAACAGATGCCTTTGAGGATTACTGCTGTTGTAGCTATCTAACTGTCAAAATCAGCTATTCCTCCAGATTTTGAGTAAGTAAAATCATCTAAAGCCTCTTGAGGAATATCTGTAAACTTCCCATCACTGAATGTCGGTCAGCTGAGGCCGACCCCCGACCTTCCCGAAAAGCGGGGCAGGCGGTGAGCGTGCAACCCGGGCCTTGCCGTGCTTGATGGCGAGATCACAAGAGGTTCGGCCCTCTGCCGGATCTGGAGAGATACAGTGCCCGTCGTATCGAACATCGCCTACTCCCTACAGCTTTTTGCTTCGCATAGTGCGGACTATGAGCAGATGAGAAGGCTTTCGACTTCTTGTAAGTCGACACACAACCTCAGCCTTCTTATGCATATCCACTGGCGATCGCCCGCCCTGCTCCACCAACTCCAACACAACAGCCGCTCCAACTCCTGACACAGAGAGGCTACCAGAACGCCCGACGCCTTGTGAAACTTTAAGGCATACTCCAAGTGACAGGTGTAGTTTCCAGTACCCGAATTTCATGCCGAAAAGTCCTTCCCAAAAAACCTTCGAAAAATAGCATCATCAACTTGCAATGAGAGAGCGAAATGTCACCATCATCAGTTGTCTCCAACAACGTCATCGGCCGGGACCCTCTTTCCGCTCCACCAGTGCCTCGACCCACAACGCCAGATCGACAGGGGTCAGCTAACAACACTTCCTTCGCCAACATGACCAAAAACGTCAAAGGAGCTGGCCACAAGGCTACATGAAACACTATTTTTACCAGACCTCCGAATAATTTATTACTCGAGACTAATTGTTTATGCCGGTAAACCAGATCCTGTTTCAACAGCTTTCGGTGTTTCGACATGGTTTGCTGTGATATACCCTTCTCTCAACCAAACTGATGTTGACGATTTCAAGTAGGAACGTTTTGTAGAAAGCAAAGCCAGTTCCTAGTGATCCCGGTCACTTACTGCCTTTGGGCGGCTCTGTGGCCCAAGCCTCCTACAGCCTTGACAAGACCGTTGCCGTAGTCCTCTCGGGATAGCTACCAAAGTCAGGTTTAGGTCGCTTTTATCTCCGATACCCCAGATTTCAGAAGCCAGTCGCAACCATGATGACCACCAGATGTTCGGTAGATAACGGGCTAGGACAGCTTCAAAATCGCTACACATCTATCAGCGCCCTGCTCCCACTAACCAGCTCTCGAGACAATCATCTCCGATTCAACCATGTTGATAGCTTCCGTAGCGGCCAGTATTCGGCGTGCCATGCTGTTTTGGATCTTGAGTTCCGTTAGCATATTCTGAAGCCCTTGAGAATAAGGCAAGATGAAGACTCCCGAACAGCCTCAAAATCTCTATAAAGGGCATCCAGCACCCCCTTTCAAGTGGAAGATTTTCTCTCATCATCACAACATTCCTTCTCAACTCATCCACTTGCCGGTCAAGTGTCTTTCAATTCAGCATTCCTTCATCTTAATTTCTCTTTGGGTTTCTGGCAAACCACTTCATCATCACGCACTCCTTCAAGCAAAAACAATATCAGCACACTATCCATCTTCCGGTAACAGGTTACCCAGCCCACCATAACCAACACCTCCCTTATCCAACCCAACAAGATGAAGACCAACACCCCCCTCCTCCTCACTCTCGCCCTCTCCCTCGCTTCCTTTTCAGTCGCCACCCCCGTCCCGTCTTCCCACTCCAGTATCAACCGCCGCTCCGGCGCCCCTGCTCATCCCAGGCACATCACCCCTTCCCTCTCCAAGCGCGCCCAACGCGGCTCCTCGGAAGCCGCCGATCCCACATATCAACAACCGGCCGGGCCCCTTTCTGATGGGTCTTCCCCCCGTTCTTCACCCATGCAGGTCGACTCGGGGAGCGACCGCTCTCCCTCCCCTCAGCAGCCGCAACATGATTCCGATATGGACGCCGAGGGCGAGACGGATTCCGAAGCCGACGCCATTGGCGAGACAGATTCAGAGGCGGACGCTATCGGCGAGACAGATTCAGAGGCGGACGCTATCGGCGAGACTGATTCAGAGGCGGACGCTATCGGCGAGACTGATTCTGAGGCGGACGCTATCGGGAGCCCGGATCCGGATTATGTCGCTCCCTCTGGTGGTGCTGGAAGGGGGGATGGAGGGCAGGGCAGGGGCGGTGCGCAGGGGCAGGGGGCCGGGAGAGGACGGGGGACGAATGCTTAAGCTTTAAGTTAATGTGGTTGATAGTTGAGGTGGGGGTTGAAGTAAAGGGTGGATTGGGGGATTGGTATGAACCGTACTAGGGCTGGTACCCAGTACTGGATAGCTGGATAGGCTGAATAACACGCTCCTTTACCCTCTCGACATTGTTTGTTTACAGTTTGTGTGAACCCGATCATGTCTATGCATATCACGCAACTATGCCTTGACATCAGCTACCTTACCTGCCCACGAACCCTAACCCTCCATTAAACACCCCCCCCTGAACCCCCTTTGGTTCAACCTCAACCACACCCATCAAGACCCCCAGTCTCGGTCTCCAGAATCGGAAACACACAATGGCCGAGATAAATTCTGGTCAAGCCCAGTTTCTGCAGCATGATCGGGCGATTACTAACGTTTTGCCAATACTTCAAGCCTCACCCGTCATTTTGCAGGCGTGGATGCGGCGGTGGGATCCTGCTAATGTATGTTGTACAGTAAGGCGGGATGGACGGCGAGGCTAAAAAGGTTCGGAGGGGTGAGGTAGATACGACAACTTGTCACTGCTCAGTCAGTGAATGAGTGTGCCTCGCTCTTACCTATTCCTCCCCCTCGACCACCCCCCCAATGAGTAAAATCGGGGGCAGCGTTGGCTTCAGGCCCTCTTATGCTGAACACCGCCTTCAAGTCACCAACATCACCAAGAGCGCATGGAAATAGTTTGATCAATACCAAAATTCCCATTGTCCCATTGTCCCATTTCACATACCACATCACATCACATCACATCTTCATCTCTATATGGCTTATCATCCCCAGCAGCATATCTCCCCCCATCTACCTCACTTGCGCGAAGCAAATCTTGGTACCAAAAATTTAAACCTCTTATCTTTCCATTCATCATCTCCTCTTTTGAAAAAACATCAGCTACATATCTTCACCCTCTTCCTCCCACACTTCCATCAACTATTCAACCGCCCCCTTTGGAAACCCTCTTGAAACTCCCAAACTCCCTCCCCCACCTGCCCATTTTCTTCTTCTCTTCCTCCCAGTAATAGCAGTTCGCTCTTGTGCTCGCTTGCAAGCATGTCATTGTTGGGGAGGGGGGGGGAAACTCATCGCAATTGGTTCATGATGTGCGCCCCGTCGTATTGAATGTTGTTGTTGTGATTAACTTAATTCGATCGCATTGAGGAGTCATTTCCGTTATAAAAAAAATTGAAAAGAAAAAAAAAGATGTAGAGAGTCATGATCGCATTGCGTTGTGTTCGTTTCCGCATCCGCAGGGCCTTTCTCTAAAAGACAGTAAAGAAGTTTTGTGAAGAAAGTTTCGTTCGTGGGAGTGAGAGTAACATCGTTTTGCCCGTGCCGTCGTGAAAAAATAGTTGGAAGCGTAAGGGTGTTGTTGACATGAGATAACAGAAAGCCAGTACAAAAAAAGCAATAAACGCCGTCGCTTAGCTTGAGAAGAACCCCCAAAGAAAATCATCAGATGAAAAAACAGGAAAAACAACACCAAAAGCAAAAAACCACATGTAAGATCCGGATCAACCACCGCAGATGTTGGTATCGTGATGGCATGATGGGACGCTTTTGTCCATGCTGAGACGATGCTGGAATGTTTTTTGTGCGTGTTCAAAAGGCAGAGCGTCACTTAGTTGGCACGGATGACGAGCTTTGAGAGGAGCTTGTTTGATAATGAATCAAAGTCATAACGGTCAAACTTGGAGTCCGCACGCGTCCGGAGGTAAGACTCTGTGGAATCAAGTTAGTCTTCTGTGTCACGGATATAAAAGATAGGGGTATTCTCACCATGCTTGATGACGTGCTGTCTGACTTCGGTCATGGCGTCACAGACCGCAGGGTTGTTGTTCAAGAGCTGACCGTGTCTCCGGGTGTCCCACTCAGTGAATGATGGAAGCTTCTGGGAGATGGCGTGGAAAAGACCAACAATGACACCCACTGGGACAGTCTCCATGTCGGTGCAGAACTTCTCAACGGCAACTGGATCCGGCACGCGGTAGTGGCAGTCGAACTGGATCTCCTCCCAGACGGCAAGAAGGATGGAAGCGAGCATGAAGATGGTTGGCCAGTTCTTCAAGCGCTCACCACTGTACACGCTAGAGTAAAGCGCAGAGAGTTCCTCCAGAACATCTTTCTGAAGCTCACGCCACAAATCGGCCATGGCGCACTTGATCTGGAAGTTGATCATGACTGGGGCTACAACCTTTCCATAGTACTTTGAGTCCTCGTCATCAATCTGGCCCTCCATAGCAGCCTCGGTTTGTGGTTGCTCGATCATGGTGATGTGAAGGGTGAGGTTGTAAGCCACAACAAGCTTGAGAGCCTTGCGAATGACGGGCGATCTTTCCTTGGCGTAGTAGCGGTATGCGGTCTTGAAGATGTCGGTGATGAAAGGAGTGCCCTCAAAGTGGTCGTCAATGAATCTTTCGAAGCCCTCGTCAATGTGCTTGTCAAGGTATTCAGAGAGAGCCTCGGACGAGATACCCTCCTGGCCAACATCAAGGTGCTCCGTGCGGATGTCAAACTCAATAGGTTCTTGATCAGTCAAAGTCGACTCAACCCAGTCAACCTGGAAGCAGCTGTCATCAGCCACATACACCTCGCGGACCATAACCGGAAGAGCAAAGCCATAGCCGTGGGTGATCCACATGAGGGTCTCCTTTTGAGCGAAACCCTTGACGTTGAAAACCGACATTCCACGGCCAAGATGACGCTCGTAATCAGCCTTCCAGTCCTTCATGAAATAGCCGATATCCTTGATGTCAATACGAGTGCAAGGAACTTGCCAGAGACGCGCGTGAGATGGCTGACAACCAGCACAAGGCTCGCCCTTGTCACAGGTCTTCTTGAGGAACTTGCAGCGAAGGCAAGCGCGAAGCTTCCTAATTTCACTGGCCTGCTTGCGTTGCTCAGGAAGCAAAGGCCCACGACGCCTGCCAACCTTCTTCTCGCCCGTCCCATCCTTCTTGCCGGTTGACGTCCTCCGAATTACCGACTTGGTGGCCTTGGCAATGGGGCTCTTTCTCGTCCCAGAGTTTCTTCTGGCGGGAGGTGAGACGGACCCAGCTCCGCTACCGCTGGCAACTGGTCTGCTGGTGGCGGCGATGGTCTTGATAGACATGGGGGCAACAGCAGCGGCTGGACTGATCAGTTCGGCTGATGTGGACTGATGAGGGTGATGTTGTTGGTGGCTGTGCTGGTGGTTGTGCTGGTGATGATGGTGGTGGTCACCAGGGGGACAGTTTCGGTGGTTCGATGATGGGTCTACATAGCTGTCGGAACCAGGCGAGTAAGGGGAATATGGTGGGAAGGAGACCTCTTCGTAGCTGCCAAACTCGAGAGAGTTTCTGTCAGATGTAGATGACCCCGACTCGCTGCGCAAGTGCAGGGTTTGACTTGGGTTGAAAATTGCAGCGTTTTGGGTGTAGTTCGGAAACATCGGGTCAACTGTTGTCCACCCGTTGTCGCTGCTGCCACCAAGCGACAAAACCTCCAAGTATGTCCCCGTGGGTGAATGGCTTCCCAGACTGCTTGTCACGCCCCGTGGAAGACCGTCGGGGTGGAAACCAATGGGCTCAAAATCCTGCCAGTTTGCCATGCCAGAGGTCCCCCACTGCAATGCCTGGGAGCCGTCGTCGACTGGTGAAATGGCAAACGCGGGCTCCAACTGTAACCCTTGATTCTCCAAGCCCTGAGTGGTCGCTGGAAGATACTCGATGGCGCCCTGCTGAAAGCCGGTCATGAAAGGGTTGAAGTGCATCAAGGCCGAGTCCTGGATAAACTGAGAAAGATCAGTAGTCGCTTGCTGGGTGGGAAGAGGCCAGTCCGAGATGAGACCTGTTGGGTTCTGGTGGGCAGCTGTGTGGTATGGGGAGTGCTGCTGTTGAAGAGGGCTCGACATGGCGCTCTGGTGAGTCGGTGAATGGGCACTGTGGTCATCGGGCGATGAAGCTGCTCCACTGGCAGAGTTGGGAGAGTGAACCGACACAGGCGCGCTCATGGTGCCGGTGAGGTCAAGTGGAAGCCAGCTCGTAACTGGGCTCAGGCTTTGACGACTTGACTGGGACATGGTTGTCAAGGCGGTGGAGGTGATGTTCTGGAGAGGAGCGGAGGAGACGGCAGTGGTATAGGAGTAGCGGTCGCGATGATCATATCTGAGCTGCTCCAGCAAAGGGTCCCCCCCAACAGTGTTGTTGAACTCGAAGTTCATGGTGGCTAATCCGAAGCGGAACCAGGAACCAGAAATTGTAAAAGAGAGGTTGGCAAAGAGGGGATTGGAGGTTGTTCGGATGGAATTGTAGCGTGAGTGCCAGGGGCGGGCGTGGACAGACCGACACCGCTCTTTCTTTTTGGGCGTATCGATATTTGTCGGTCAGGAAAGGCTCATGTCATAACAAGCATCAAGCGCGGCTTGTCGTTCCTCTGCTGTACTCGTGGTCTCTCGAAGACTCCCAGTCGTAACGTCGTGACAAAGAGGAGAGGTGAGGCTGGTAGAGGACGAGAAGCTTGTGAAGGCCGAGTATGAGTGCTGCACGGCCTTGTCGTCCTTTGGGTCCAGTCCTGTCCTGTCCTTGGGAGCCAGAGGGTGTTTGTCGGTGGTTGTCTTTGGGGAGTTGCAGGAAGAGGAGGGACCACCACAAAGACAAGACCAGTGGCTCGTTCTCCCTCTTCTCACTTCTCTTCTCACGCAACCCGCTCCACAGCAGTCCGTTGAAGAGGCGGTGAGCATGCATCGACCCCCGGTCCCGTCGGCGATGCTAATTGGGTGGGTCGTGCACGGATAAGGTGGGCACAAGTTCAAGTGCCGGCCAATCATTGAGGCGCTAAACCTGGTTGACAGTGGGCTGCTGCCAGCACCACTCCGTCCTGTCAACCCCCTCCCGCACTGTACAGGGACCTCCTCGCCTTGCCGAGAGCCTGGATCCCCAACCCCTCACCCAGCTGCCAGCTCCAGACATCTCAGTGTTTGTCCAAGATGGTGCGAGGTCCACAGAACCCTGAAGGGATCGAAGGGACGGGGAACGGGACGGGATAGCTAAGCGTATGGACCATGCTGACCACCCTATGCCTAGGAGATGACGCTCACGATATTAAGAGGAAAGCAAGACATACATATCCCGTACGCCAGCACAGCCATTGATATTGATGATCAGTTTGCTCTCGCAGATCCCAAGAGGCTGGCTGCCCAGGTGCCCAGCCGAACCAGTCGATATCCAGGTCGGAGTTTTCTTTTGGTGCTTGCGCTATCGACAAGACCGGCTTTCCAGCATCAGGTGTCGCCCATATGGTCTTGTGGGCCCGGCGGCTTGGCCCGTTGAGCCATCTGCCATGGACGTCGAACAACCTGTCACTGACAGACAGCCTTCGGACGCTCATCAGCAAGGCAGGGCTCCAGCACAGCATCACGACTCCTATGCACTGCAACAAGCAGTGGTGGCAAGTAACGATGCAAACGTGCTATCTCGGCTTCTACCGAATCAATTCTCTCCTTGATGGCCCGGACTGGCGGCTGCTCTCTTTCTCCCCGGCGCTGTGCTGCGATATGAGAGCATTCCAGATGGCTTTCATGCTGCCATCCGCCTCGTCATACCCTTCGCCCGGCTTTGGCTGAATTCTCTTGCTCGTCTTCCCAGCATGGTTGTTTCATGTCATCGGTGAGACCCCGCGCCCGCCGCCGGCCCATTGAGACATTCTCAGGCTTCCATGTCAGTTCACTGGACTGGCATAAAACTGCTGGATTTCCAGGCGAAGCGAGTCCGGTGAGCCCCCGGACGCAAGGGAAGAGGGGAGTGCAGCAGGCAGTGGGCGATTACTTATCGTTGGCATGCGCCTCGTCATGTCCAAGGTGGTGCGTGGCTCCTAATAGTTCTGTACAACATCTCGCGGCATGAGGACACCACGAGGCACAAGCACAAGTCCGCGGCCATGCCAATTGCCAGCTGCCAGAGATATCCCACAGGAAGTACAGACACAGTGAGAAGTCGGTCCCGTGTCGTATGCAGCACTGCGGCGCGATTCGGGCCCAATGGTAGCATTCGGCTCTGATGGCGAGTGTTGAATTGATGATGGATGGTGGACGGTCATGAGGGTTGCTGGTCAGGGCACAGCGAAGTCCTTGCAGGGGCCAATCGTTGATCCACGCCGTTTCCCCGCGCTTATCTGATCTGCCCAGTGCGGGTGCGGGGCCCCCAGCTCTTCTCTCAAACACCTTGGACCCTGAATTGACTTCAAGGCCGTTGGGGGCTTTGATATCAAAGTTCAAAAGGGACTGGATCGTGATACCCAAACAATCCTGTGCCAACATGGACTTTGGGAATATTCAGCAAACATTCCAAACAGGGGATAACAATTCCTTCTCGCCAGAACCCTCGTCGACCCCTTTGCTATCCCGGTCAGCGACATGGGCCCCTCTCGTCAAACGTCCTCACCTCGACGCCGGGGATCAGCATCCGGCCCAGGGTTATCGGAAGAGGCGTTGAACGAGGCCGGCTCGCGACCTCATCACTCCATACAAAGGCAGCAGAAACGATAAGTTCAAGCCACGTTTCTGACGATCGCCCATGCTTTGTCTTCAAAAAGAAAACAAAACCCACGCTCGGTCGAGAACCTCCTCCTCTTTCTGAACTCCACACCAACCCCCACGAACCGAACAACTCCGGAAGGGGGTTCTGGTTCGGAATTCTTTCCACTGATCTCCAGTGACCTGCTCCGTGCTCTCCTGTAGAGTTACGCTGAAGTCAACTCTGACACAGGAGACAATGGACATCCTTTGACCGCTGAGGCTTGGGATCAGTGCTCATGGGATTCATGTGCCATATCCGCCACAACTCCTGTCCAACACATACATATGCGTCTAGAAAGGGGAAACCGCACCCTGGCCACATGGCCCGCCGGTTCTGGACAAGCGATAGGAAGAGGATCAGCCACACTCCCACACGACTCCGACCGCGAGACGCCGAGCAAGCGCTTGTTCTGTCCCACAAGCACCCAAGATCTTTTCGAGGGGCGAAGTCGATGCTAATGGTGCATCTTGATCCAAATCAGGAAATCCCCCTATTGTTTCTTGTGCTTCCAAAAGGAGGGGTTGCAGCAAAGGTGTGGGTGTTTGACGGCCGGCAACTGTCTACCGGAGGGACACCCGGGCCACCCCTGACCGATCTATCCGGATCTGTGCCATCGGCCGGACGCGATGCTTGTTTTGCTAACCCTGCCGGGATGTCTTCCAAGGACGGTTGAAGTCAAGAACGCGATGTGACTCCACTGAAGGCCAAGACGTTGTCGTTTTCGTCCTAGCTTGTTCGTACTCGATGAAGACTTTTTCTTTGCGTCTGAAGTCGTCCGGGCATGCCGGGGTTTTCCTCGCCACTTTCGTGGTGTTGTTCGCATGCTTTGCTGGCGGGAATTCGTGTCGTTCGTCGGTTGATGGTACGGGTGATGGGAAGAAGACTGACTGACTGACTGACAACGCCGACAGTTGGTCTATGGTGGCGGAACTACCCGCTAGTTGGCTTTCGTAGCCGGACAAACTCTGGAGAGGTTGGCGATCACACAAGATAGCTCCGATGTGTTCAGCTCCTCAGTTGATGATCTGCTGCTGGTTGATTCCGGGTCTCCCTAGCAACAACCACGATGGCTTCGGTTAAGTAGACGGCGGTAGAGATTGTTTTCGGTCTCCACCAAAAGATTAGGTGCTGTAAAAGATTAAGTTGATGTGATATTTGGACGGGTTGTACTGTAACGAACATCGGATGTTTACCTTGTAAGAGATGGGCGGAATACCAGGCCACGTTGAATCAAGTGTAGAGATCGAAGATGGAGAGAGAAGCTACCCGGAGCTTGCGGCCGGCGTTTGTCGGAGTTGACTGCTAAGCACCGGAGCTCCCCTCCGCTCCGGCCGGCCTTGGGCCGGGACTACCGGCTTGTTCGGCTCGGTGGTCTTGGCACGCCTCGGCCGGTGGGACAGCCCCAGGATCCAGAGAGAAAATAAGGTCCAAACAGCATTGGATACGTTTCAGTCAGTTGGCTCAAATATCACCTAAACAATCAGAAGATCTACCAGACGAAGGCGAAGACGTTTATTCTCCGCCGTTCACAGATACCAAGCTCTCCAAGTGAATCAAATGACAAGAATGACCCGCTTTTCTCCATCCCCAACTTTGACGTTCTTGGCATCTGGCAGCCACAAGGCAAAACCTCACACACATTGAACCTACATACCCAATCGACCGTTGTGCGAGAACGCCGCAAACGATCAGTGGCTTTTCATTATGCGGCCGGTGATGAATTCAAAAGCGGTGTAGTTTTTTTGGTGAACAATATTACCGGCACAGACGATTGTTCATCACCTCGCTCACCCCGCTATTCGACTTGAGCACACCCCTGAAAACCACGCTTTCACAACAAAGACTCCCACTCACAACAACCGGGCTCTCACTCACAAATGAGCCCCCCATCGCAACAAAAAAGAGTATTATTCAGCTGGAAGAACAAGGAAAAGAAGACTACCTCGACCACAATGTCAACCTCACAATCACCACCACCGGGCCCTTCCCAACAACCACCACCCCAAGCCACCACCTCATCACAACCCGACGACCTCGAAGTCGTAACCGACGACAACGACAGCGACTACTCCTCCATCGACTCGGAAATCCCCTTTTCCACCCCCAATCTCCCCCCTTCCATGACCACAATGATGATAGACAGCCTCTTCACAACCCCACCCCCCCTCCACGACCCCCTCATCACCCCAACCTCCACCCTCCAAGACGAGACCCTATCCGACATTCTCCCCTTCCTCTCCTCCTCCCCCCTCCCCCCCGATCTCTTCACCTACAACGCCTACAACGTCCCCTCCCTCCGCCGGGAGGCTCACATTGCCTTTCTTCATGCCTCGCTCGGTAGGTTGCCAGGGAAGTTTGTCGCCGCGGACGCGAGCAGGCCCTGGTTTTTGTACTGGTGTCTTAGCGGGTTGGCCATGTTGGGGGAGGACGTGAGCCGGTATAGGGATAGTGTAAAAGAGACGGCGAGGTCGATGCAGAATGGGAGTGGGGGGTTTGGTGGTGGGGGTGGGCAGCTGAGTCATCTTGCTACGTCGTATGCGGTGGTGCTGGCGTTGGCGATTGTTGGGGTGAGTTTTACTGGATAGAAAATTAAAGAGGGTTTGTTTGCTGATGATGAAAAAACTTTTTTTTTTAAAAAAATAGGGAGAGGAAGGCTTTGAGGTTATTGATAGGAGGCAGATGTGGAGGTGGCTGGGGGGGTTGAAGCAGAGGGATGGTGGGTTTGAGGTTTGTAGGGGGGGGGAGGAGGACATTAGGTACGTTGTTGCTATGCTGGGAATGGATTAGGGGTAAAGGGCTGATGATGGATACAGAGGGGCGTACTGTGCAGCTGTTATCATCACGCTGCTCGATCTGCCGCTCGATCTAACTCCCGAATCGCCCGCATATAAACCCGACGACCCGAGTTTTAACCTCCTGTCTGGAGTAGCTGACTACGTTCGACGATGTGAGTGTTCTTTTCTTCTAGCCTCCCCCACTCTCCCACACGAATTTTACCAACATCATTTTGCTAGGCCAAACCTACGAAGGCGGGATATCCTCCTCCCCCTCCGCCGAAGCCCACGGCGCCTACGCCTTTTGCGCATTGGGGTGCCTCTCCCTCCTCGGCCCCCCGAGTATCACCATCCCCCAAACCCTCAACCTCCCCTCCCTTCTGTCATGGCTCTCTAGCCGGCAGTACGCCCCCGAAGGAGGCTTCTCGGGGCGGACCAACAAGCTCGTTGATGGGTGTTATTCCCACTGGGTCGGGGCGTGCTTCCCCTTGATCGAGGCCGCTCTGGCCAATTCCCCAACTCCGGTGAATGACAGTTTGTTCAGTCGGGAGGGGTTGATACGTTATATTCTGAACTGCTGTCAGGATGAGACTAAGAGGGGGGGGCTGAGGGATAAGCCGGGCAAGATGAGTGACGCGTATCATAGCTGTTATGTGCTGAGTGGTTTGAGCGCGGGGATGCATCAGTGGGTGTTGGAAGACGAGGAGTGGATGGTGCTGCCTTATTTGGAAGGGGAGCAGGTTTTTGAGAATGCGGATCGGGTGAGGCCGGTGCATCCTGTTTATGTGATCCCGCAAGGGGCGGTGAGGGCGATGAGGGGGTATTTTAGGGGGAAGGGGGGGTTTAACTGAGTCTTGTGTTTGGTGATGGTGTGGTTGGAAGATATATGTGTGTTGAGTCTGGAAGGGTTTGTACGGGAATAAAATAGGATATGTGTATGTTTGGTGTAGGTCGTTGGGCCACTGGGATATACGTTGGCAAATGGGATAACATGGTGTCAAAAAGTTATTTTAGTTGCTTTTTGCTTGTGGTCACTGAACAGAGGAATGAGAATAAAATGCTGTCGAGAAACAACGCGCATGTTGTCATGGCGAGGGCAGATAAAATTGTGGATTGCTTGTTGTTGGCTTCGGAGTGGAAACGTTCTTTGGATTGTCTATCGGCAACCTGTTGCAAACAAGGTTGATGATATGTTGCAAAGTAGGGGACGTCAAAATTCCAAGAGAATGTGGAAGGAAGTCAAAGAGTTTGTCAAGTGCAGTGAAATCTAAAGTTGCTTGCAGTTGACCTTCAGTCTGGCGAGGAAGAGAAGAGAAGAGCAGAGCAGATATCACGTGTCTAATCACATTTATTCCGCCGTGACCACCCCAAACCAACCGCTCTCAAAGCAAGAGAGAGATGTCCAAATCCGGTGAAACAAGGGTACTTGATTGGCTGTTTCATGGCCTCTCTGTACATGTGAGAATCGTTAGCTCGCCGGACGAATACGGATGGCAACAGCAACCTGTCGCCATGATGGTCAGATGAGAAATGAGCAGTCACGATCTCACTTCAAGTCTAGAATGAAAATAACATGCAGGTATTTCCTGACTTCTCGTGCCTTCCCATCTGGGGCCGGGGGACATGCACAATGCACGTATGACATAGGTGGTGCATTTTGCAGCTAGCTATCAGAGGCAAAAAGGAGGCCTCGGAGGTTTACTCATGTTTCTGCTTCTTTCTTCTGCCGGCAGCGGAGGAGGTGATGGTGTCACTGGTGTTCCCCCAATGCTTTACTTTGTAAAGATCCCGAGCCATGGTAGCCGTGTATTGCCTGTTGGATGACCTGCATGTACCAATCTGCCCCCGACTCTGGATCTGGAACTGACGGTGAAGCCTACAGAACTGTCACACGTGCTCATACTATCTGTCCTACTCTGTGTCCAGAATGAGATAGCAAGATAGATAGACATCGCCACTGCAGGCCCATCTATCTCTAGCCTTCTCATTATCCCATCGATGCCGGCAAATCTGAAACCTAGAAAGAGCAAGAAACGGTCAAGATGAGCGAACGATGGACAGACGTGGCAATCTTGAGGCGCACCCAATACTACCATTGCATGTCTATCTCATGCACGACGCCCCGGACAGACAGATGGGCTTCTTGCTCCTTTCCTCGTCCCAGCCGTGTCAAGCAAATGGGAACAGAAGGAATGTGTCTTACCACCCTCTCCGCGCCCGACTGGTACTGGTAGTACCTCCCCCTCTTTTGATGTTCCCATGGGATCGGCTCAGAGGGATGGTCAGCGAAGCCTGGGGAAGTGAGAAAAGCTGGGACTGAAGCATCCACACCGGCTTGGATGTCTAAGATCTCATCGTGATTCGGTTTCTGGAATCAGATGGTTGGTTGGTTCCATTGCCCATGTTTTGACGACGCCTGACGCGGAAGCTCGGCATTGGAAACGAAGAGAACGATGTTCAGGTTGTGGGTCAATGATTTAGTTGAGAGTTGAAGTGAGTGGTCGCTCATCGTGACTCCTCTCATCTGCAGACCCAGGTTGGATGCTGGGCGTGGGCAGATGGATGCCCGTTTGGAATCCAGCTGAGAGCCCAACGTTTAGCGGTGTCTAACATCAGCTCTTCCGGGGGAAGCAGGAGAAAGAGAGGAGGATTGTCCTTGCTGGCATTTCTTTCTCCCGGCGTCCCAGACCTGTCGATTTGCTGGATCTGTCCATGGGCCTCGATAATGGGCCCTCCCCCAGATGGGTCCCGGACGATATCAGTTGATGGCTACCAGTCGCCCGAGGGGGAACAAGAACAACGAAAAAAAAAAAGGTTGCATGGCAGGGCCTCTCTCATGCATTCGGACGTTCAGATTCTGTTGTGTAATCTGTTTTGGTTATTATGTGAGCAGAGAAAAACAGAAGGACTCACCTTCGCTGTCACGTCGAGCCGGACCCAGACCCAGTATGCAGCCCGAATGAAGGCCCAGCCCAGATATCGCCAGGAGAAAAAGACCGAGCAAAGGAGGGGCTGGCAATACGCCGTCTGGTACATAGAGCCGGCAAAGGCTGCACTGTTGCGAGATGACGTTTGCTTGGACATTCCATGAAGGATGAGGGGTCAGCTTTGCCCCTCCCCCTCACCAACACCTTTTTTTTTTCCCTTGATTACTGCGGGGTGTGAAAGGACCCCTCCTCCTCCTGCTCAGGTCTTGTCTCCCAATTTGTCAAACACGGACCCGGCCGTGGTGATTCCGCCGGCACAATACGAGGACCGCGGTGCTGGATGTTGGATGTGTGGCCGTTGCCTTCTGTGCCGAAGGCTGGAAGTTCCAGCATTATCCCAATTGGCCATCCGTCTCGTTCGGCTTGGAGATGCACACCATTCAGTTTCATCCCGCACATGGGACTCGGTTGTCCGGATTAGGGTTGGGTTTGTGGTGAAGACATTGGATTCATTCATGTCATTGAATAGGTACCCATCCAACCTTCCCAATTGGTTGCTCCAGGCTCTTGAGATCTTGCCTTGAATATGGTGGGCAGTCGAACAAGTCCTGTCCTGCCTTCCTCGTCTGGCTGCCCGTGGCTAATGGAAGGTACGATAAGGATAAGGCTGTGGTAACCTATTAATGCTCTCTTTCCTACCCTGTCAGACAGGTACATCTTTTCCCTAGAATAACTCATAAAAAAAACACTCACCTTCCATTCCTTCTCACAACCCCCCCGCTTCTGTACGAGCCATGTACATGCTGCACGCTGTTGCTGTCGCCGGTATCGATTCGTTCGTCAGTTGCCCCCTCGGCGCCCCGACCCATACTTGGCTTCTTGTTTAATATCAAGAAGCATTGCCAACTCATCATTGCATGAGTGTCAAGGTCGACCAGTGCCTAGTTGCCTTGCGACGTCGCTGGCCACTCAAAAGGCCGAGTTGTCGTTAGGGCCAGACGCAGACAGACGCAGGCGATGCAAGGGTTTGCCGGCCCCCCCAGCCACTGTTCATGCACCTCATTCCCTCCCTCACCGACTTCCAATGTCCTCTTCTCTTCGAAGCGCCGCCGTTCGTTTCTTACCGACCTTGTTTGTGAACTGTCGTCCCGAAGATCCAATTGCCCGTCCCTGATTCGTCCGTCCTACTGTGCACTAACACGCGGCCCCACAGAAACTGTTTCTCGAACCACCACTCTTCGGCGCCGCATCAAATATCAAAAAAAAAAAAAAAAACTTTTGTTTTCTCTGCTGACGATGACGGAAACCTGCCGTGGGCGAATCGCCATGGCCCGGGTGACGGCCAGCGACGGCTACGGATACCTGGCATCATCACATCGAGATATCGTCACAGATGCTTGACCCCCTGCAATGTATCTATCTGTAGGTGCTCTTCGGAGAGCTTGTCCACGGCCAACGCTGTTCCTGTGTACACTACCAACCGCTACTTGGTCGATTCGACTGCAGCTGCATTAGTGGCCGCGCATATGGATCTCGGAGAAGTCTCCCTTCGTCCCTCCTTGTGTCCCCGTCCGTCACTGCGGTGCTCTGATGAGCCGGCATTTCCCTCCAGAAGCTACAGGGCACCGTTGTCTGTCTAGATGCCCCCGGCGGCACCAGCCCAGCGGCGATATCCCCCAGAGTGCCGCCGAGGTGGACGAGTCGTCCTGTCCGTTTCCCCTTCCGGTCTACCTGCAGAAGCAGAGACATTGGCCTTCGGCGGTTCCATTTTTGCCACCTTCTGAGAAGGCCATGTCTGCATACAAACGCGCCTTTTACCCAGAAAAAGCCCGCGGGCCCGCCCAGATCGGACCAAAACAAAAGGGAAGAACGGAGGGGGGTTGGACAGGTGCGGGAGTGGAGGCCGGAGCAGGGCCAAGCCTGAGAGAAGAATAGCAACATCGAGCATGAGCAAGTGCATCATGGGCCAACAGGACCCATATCCTTTCCCCATACCATACTGGTCGGACTTATCAGAGGAGATCTTCCCCTCCAAGTCGATGCATCCCCCCATGTTGATGGGGTGGAGTTGGCCCGGTCTCAGCGGTTGTATCAACTGGCAACGACACACGCCAACACATCAAGAGGGTCACACTTTGAGCCGCATCTTTTGTCGACATGCATTCGACGACCCTTCCACTCTGTCCGTCTAGCTTTCCGTCCTTTCCCTGCTGCGTCTGGTGTCTGTATCTGGACTTTTGCCATCCCCCCCGTGCCCCGCACCACCACCGCCCGTCACTGCAATAAAGCACACATGTCTCGCCGTTTCTGGTCCACGACTTCCCTTCCTGCGTCCGAGCCTTGATACGTAGCATATCTATCAGCCCTGACTTCTCTCACCACCCAAACTCACACCACCCTCTCGTCTGTAGGACAAGCTTCCACCTCCGGCCTCTTACTCTCTACCTCCCTCTCTCTATACCACTTCCACCCCCAGCCAGGTTGGGCTCGACTGCATCGCATATCGTACCGAGTCCCGGATCCAGCCTTGCCGTCCGTTCTTGCTTTATTGCATCGTCCATATTTTCTTTTTTGGCTTCCCGGGACCTGCCAGACGTCTGTTCCACGTCTTGAACCTGCCGTGCTTGTCACATTGGGGTCCCATTACGAGCAAATTTGTCACCATGGTTGGCTTCTACATGCAGTACCTGGAGAGTAAGTTCTTCATTGACTTTCTGGAAGCTCTCTTTCTGGCCTTGCCGTCTAAACACCGTTCCCGCATTGTTCCTGTTGTGGTGGCATGTCGTTGTTGACCAACCCCCCTGCACGACATCTTCCCACAACATACACACACCTTACCTATGTTCCTGCTTCAGACTTCAGATCCCCAGGCACAGCATCCATCCACCCCCTGGTCATTCATCCCTCGATCCGGCACACCATGTATACCTGCTGCACCCCATAGGGCTGAGGGGGTTCAGGTTGGGCTGTCATGCAGATCACTTCATGTCAGGCCGTTCTTGCTACCACCTCCCCCTCCTCCAATACTCTCCCCCTGTAGGAAACGACAATGCCCAACGGCTGAGTATGGGATCGTTCCAGGGCCGTGCTAATCGAGGATGACTTGCAGGTCTTTGCCGCCGGCGTGGATGGCACGACCCCAGCTACGAGTGCTACCGCGACAGCAGCGGCTACACTTGCCTGGTTCTGGTGAATGGCCGCGAGTACCAGACGGACCTTGCATACGAATCCGGGAACCTGGCCCAGGAAAACGCAGCCATGCGTGCTTTTATGGTTTGCCGGAACTTTTCAGTCAATGGCGGCATGCTTGCCCGCAACGGGATCGTCCAGGGGCTGCCTGCCGACGACAGCAGCGTTCGCAAGTCTCGGAAGAGCAGCCGGCACCACCCGTCTACAAGCCACCGCAGGTCTGGACACCACTCCAGCAGCAGTTCGACCACCTCTTTGGAGTGATTCCCAGAGGAGCCGCGTTTCCGCGTGGCGGGAGCAGGGTGGACGTTGGGATTCGCTGAATCGCCATGTCTGCCTGCCCCCTTTTGGACCGAACCATTGCCCAGCTTGTGGAACAGATCTCGGGCGACCACTACCACCTGGACATTGGACTGTTATTCCCCCAATTAAAATCGGAGAAGGCTTCACAGCGAAACACAGTGAGCGAGACCCCGCAGATGATACCTGGATGGTACTGTCCGGTTTTCATCCGGGATCGTTGAATTGGTCAGCGGCACAGCGGACTTGATGGAATTTTCCACCAAAAAAAACCATTCTTGCATTCTCACGAAATGACGAAACGATATTTACGACGACATAGACAAGCTCGAGCTTTAGCGACCTTTTTTTACCCCATCCCGAGCCTGCCTGGTTCCGGCCTTGGCTTCCCTGATCATATCCACGGTGCATATTTTGGATTTCTGTTTTGATGACTTTCGCTTCATTTACAAAAGACACGGCGACACTTTTTTCTTCACACACTTTTCCAGCTGGGTATGACAGGACCAGCCGGTTGGGTTTGTGGGAGAAGGTCTGAGCTAACCGGACACTTGGGGGCAACTCTGGGTGGCCGCAAACACCTCACTGGGCAGCCAACATATCGAGTTTTCTTGCCTCTGGATGGACTATTACTCTTGGACCAGGGACCTGGCTTACGATTTGGCCTGGAGTTTTCTACTTTTTTTTGTTTTGCACACTCGGTTTCCTTGTTCACACCCTGGGCTCAGCCTCTCTCTGTCAATGCCGGATTCCTAATTCACACAAGGAGGAGGACAGAGGATTTTTTTGAACGTCTAACCTGTTCACAACCATTTCACTGGGCGCTTTTTTAGGCCGCATGTTTCGGAGAGGGCCGTTGGTATGTAGCGGAGGGGGGCATTGGACGCTGTTGGAGTCGCGAGGAGTTTTTTCAAAGACTGGAAAGAAAAAGGTGGAGGAATTCACGTTCTGGCATCAGCGGGAGGCACCATTAAGGACCGCCTTTTCTATGCCCCCTTTTTGGATGATTGTGGTGGTGGTGAGGATGGTGATGATGATGGTGGTGGTGGTGGTTTAGTCTTTTTCTTTTTTTTCTTTTTACGTTTACGACATGATGATGAATATGATGACCCTTTTAACGACACCGTTTATGACGACAAAAAGAGGTGGATTGATCAGAGAAAGCAGAGACAATTTTGATGACTTGAGAAGAAAGATTTATCACGGGAGAAATGAATACACGGATTTGAGCACATGGCTGACTCTCCTGATTTTCTTTGCATGTTTTCAGTATGTGATGGTGATAATGGTGATGATGGTGATGATGGTGATGATAGTGATGGTGATGTGGCGGATGCCAAAATTTTAACCCCTTTCCAATCCGACCGGTCCGGAACGGGGTCCGAACCCGGCGCCGCGCAACAGTGTTACTAGCTGTATATACGCCGTGTCGGACCGGGACCGGAGCCGGCCGACGAATGAGAATACGGAGCACGCTAAGGGGGCTTTTTATGTTGTTGGGACGGAAAGTCATGTTATGTTGTTGGTTGCACAAGGTCACAAGGTCTCGGGGAGCAGCAGGTGACCTCGTGGTGAAGCTTATGTCAAACATGGGCTTTCGTTTTGTTTCATAGGTACGCGACGAGGTCCCCCAACAAAAGGTGGCTGTGCAGAATTGGGATGTGCATGATTTGAGGGATCTGGGAAGGTATGAACCAGGTTTTTGGGTGTTTGATGTAGATCAGGGCAGGGCTGGGGAGGGAGGTTTATGGGTTTTTGAGGGCTAGGTGTTGAAGACGCCCATAGTAGCGGAGTATATAACATGTGGGAGAGCAAGGAGTAGCTAGAGCAGAGCAACACTCGAAGAGCAGACAGAGTCTCATTGATAGCTTCAGCTTGCTCTGAAGAAAAGAGCTCAACCCCCTTCCCCTGAATTCCCCATCTCTCCCACAGGGTTGAGCTGATGAATGTTGCCCCCAATTTCGCCAGGGGAAATTATGCGGCTTGATTGGCTGCTCAGCTGGCATGTGGCCAAGGAGTACCCCAGACAATTGGTCGCAGAGCTGAGGAGAAAAGCACGGACCAACCTTCAGCAAAGGCCCCATTTTGTGTTGTCTTAGCTGCTTGCCCGCCAGGGGGAGGGGCGCCATGTGTTGTGTTGTGGCAGCTGTGGCATGGTCAGTCGGTAGTAGTAGGTGTCCTTAGTTTTTTTTTTTTGTGCTTCCTGTCCTCTCTTCATCATCTTCGACATCTTCATCACGAACTTCCTTCGGCCTTAATTTTTTATTGTGCGTCGTGTGCGTGTCTCTCCTGATCCGCGCGTATTATATTCATTCTCAAGTTGCAGTCTGGGCCTAACTCACCACCCCCACTCTTCTCGGACCTTAGCTTCGTGACCTACCTACCTAACTTGGAGCGTGTCATTCCTAATTATAACCTGCTTTCTTGAGAGGAGCAACAAGAACTTCGAAGGGGCCAGCTTGCTTTTCTCGTTCACCAACTTCCTTTCTTACGCTCGTTGTAAAAGTCGAACCATTTTTTTTAATACACCGCAACTACCCGCTTTACGCACTACCCGAGAGCGCGCGCGCAATCGTCAGACGTCGAGTCCATCGTTCACGGTTTAGCGAACCTACACCGAGTTATCCCCCTCAACAAGCAATCATGAAGGGTACGTGCCTCTTCTAGACGGACTTATTCAAGATGGACGGGAAAGCTGACTTTGTCCTTCTTCACAGCCCTAATTCTCGTCGGCGGCTTTGGCACTCGCCTTCGCCCTCTCGTACGTTCTGTTGCCCTCCCCTCCCTCCATTCCACGCTCCCTTTCGATGGTGCCCAACACATCACGAACCAACACCGGCGATCTAGCCCCCCTCCCTCCCCACACCGGCGGGCCTTCACCATTGATACGAGAGACCGTTGCGACTTCACCGTTCAGGAAACCTCGAGTAGCTAACCTTTGTATCGCTCATCAGACTCTGACCCTCCCCAAGCCTCTGGTCGAGTTCGGCAATAAGCGGATGATCCTGCACCAGATCGAGGCCCTTGCAGCTGCTGGTGTTACCGACATTGTATTGGCTGTCAACTACCGCCCCGAGATTATGGAGAAGTACCTGGCCGAGGTTTGTCCAGTCCCACACCACTACATACCAAAGTGACAAGCCCACTAAGATGCATCTTCTTTCTCAAACACAGTACGAAAAAGAATTCGGCATCAACATCACCATCTCGATCGAATCCGAGCCCCTCGGCACGGCCGGCCCGCTCAAGCTCGCCGAGGAGGTGCTCCGTAAGGACGACACCCCCTTTTTCGTGCTCAACTCGGACGTGACGTGCGATTACCCCTTCAAGGAGCTCGCCGCCTTCCACAAGTCGCACGGCGACGAGGGGACCATTGTCGTGACCAAGGTGGAGGAGCCCTCCAAGTACGGCGTCGTGGTTCACAAGCCGGGGCACCCGACCAAGATTGACCGCTTCGTCGAGAAGCCGGTCGAGTTTGTGGGCAACAGGATCAACGCGGGCATGTACATTCTCAACACGTCGGTCCTTGACCGCATCGAGCTGAGGCCCACCTCGATCGAGCAGGAGACCTTCCCCGCCATGGTGAAGGACGGGCAGCTGCACTCTTTTGACCTGGAGGGCTTTTGGATGGACGTCGGGCAGCCAAAGGATTTCTTGACGGGGACGTGCCTGTACCTGTCGAGCCTGGCGAAGAAGCAGAGCAAGCTGCTGACCCCGACGACGGAGCCGTTTGTGTACGGGGGGAACGTGCTGATTGACCCGAGCGCCAAGATTGGGAAGAACTGCAGAATAGGGCCCAACGTGACGATTGGGCCGGATGTGGTGGTGGGGGATGGGGTGAGGCTGCAGAGGTGTGTGCTGCTCTCGGGGGCCAAGGTGAAGGATCACGCTTGGGTGAAGAGCACGATTGTGGGGTGGAACAGTGTGGTGGGGAGGTGGGCGAGGTTGGAGAATGTGACGGTGTTGGGGGATGATGTGACGATTAGTGATGAGGTTTATGTTAATGGGGGGAGTGTGCTGCCTCACAAGACGATCAAGGCGAATGTGGATGTGCCGGCTATTATTATGTAAGGGCGGGGTTTTGAGGGGACAGAAATGGGGGGTTTATATGGGATTGTAATTCATGGTATTCTGGGAGGGCTGGGAGCAGTTGGGTGGGAAAGGGGCCAGGTTAT